CAGTACTTTGGAACCGGTCGCTTATGACTTATGAGAGACGGAGCTGAATCATCCTCAACTCTCGACTGTGACGCCTCTCGTGGAGAAATCGCTCAAATGCAATCGTTCAGTCGGTCAATTGGCCTCGAATTCCTGGGATACGGTTGACAAACACTCCGTCATACGATGGAGGCTCGATTCCGTGATTCGGATCATGATTAACAATGAGGCGGATTTTTCCATGCCGAATTCACTTCCCTGCTCAAGGATATCTCTACAGGAATCCGATTGCTACCCTCTCGGCGCGACTTCTTCAAGGCAGCGAGAGAATCAGTGGGACGGTCTTCGCAGATCTCGTGGGTTCGTCTTTTGACGAATAGATCAATGATATGCGCTTTCCTCGTCCAGATTCGTGGCAAATAATTGGGGAGGAAACCGCCCGGGCGTCTGTATTGGCGCCAGGAACTAGGGATGGAAGATTCCATCTAAGGAACAATGAGCGCTGGGGTCGTTTAGAGCGAATTGGAACAGATTACTTCCGAGCAAGACACCCGGCCGACATCTACGGGATATCCGAGACTTACAAGGTCCGGTCCGAGATGGGACCTTGAACCCGATGGGGGCCGTTCGAGAGAACGTCATGATACCTTCTTCGGGGAGCGATAGTGATGTTGATTGGATCAGCATTCGAAGGTATAAGAAGACCGATAAGCGGGCGCCGTCTCGTCTTCATCGGATCGTGGCTTATGATATCTCGCTGTTCCGGGAATCCTGCAGATATTTCTAGCGATATAGGTGGGTATATTCCTGATGTAATCGCACAGGGTCCCGAAAATTAGTTCCACGCAGCTCGCGAAAAAGACTCTGCCACCGATCCTGTTCTTGTCTCTCAAAGTAGCTTGCGAATGCGAACAGCACATGCGGTGGCGAATGATTGTCTCAGAGAATCCATCCAGTAGGATATTCATAGATCTGTCTCCGCATCGAACGGTACTGAGGAACTTCAATCTCTTGAATGGCGGAGACCATGATGTCAATGCCGAAGCTTCCGAACTGAAACCTCGGTCTCTTATTCTTGTGTACCACGAGTTGCGAGACAGTGGAGACGGTGAACTTCGCGCGGCCAGATTCACAAATCGTGATGCCTCTTGCAAAAGTGTGCCTACAAGTGTCCTTCGGAGCCTGGCATGGCATCTCACTCTCTTTAGTTCCGTCCAATGTGCCGGAAGCCTGGAATCTGAATAATATTCCCCCTCCGATTGTTATTCCTTATGTTGGCGGCAGCTTTCCTGAATGATGTCGGAACTTGTCCTAGTTGAAAACCCGAAACCAGAACACACCCAATGCAGAGAGCAGCAGAAAGATAGAAGTCGACGATAAGCCACTTGATTCGAGCGTATTGAGAATTCGGCATGTCTCAGAACCTTCAGCCAAGATCCGGGCGCCCTGATTTGTTCACATTTAGGGGGATCAATAAATGACGTCTACCATAACCATCGGAGCTTCTCTGGAAGTAGGGTGCTGCATCCGGGGATGCAGGAGGTTTTATTCAGCGAAATTCATTCCATACACATTCTCTGTATACGGAATTTTCCACCATTTACGCTCCGTGACACAGGCTAATCCGCTCTGCTGCCCTAATTAGTTGGACTCTGAGTATGGATGGGCTCCCGCTCTCCAATTTTTTCCCCACGCGTCCTGTTGAGAGTCTTGAGTGATCCATTGGAGCTCGGTTGAGGGCAAGAAGTACCTACATCTCAAGGGAGATTCCCGTCGAATGTCCTCCACCCGGGAAACAGACTCAGCTTTAAGATTCTTCAGGAATCGCGGGGAGGCGCAGTGTGAATTGATACCTCCATGGATCTGAGGCGTACTTTGTACCACTTGTCAACTTCCGGCTCAGAAACCCGGTCTCCGAGAAATGATCCATGTGGATGACGAGTTATATGGTCGCAACATCGTAAGCAAACGATCAGAGGAGATTCCGCATGCACGATGTCCCGTCGGAGCAATATGAGCCTTTGGTCGATCCCAGGAATGTGCTAAATAAAATTCTTTGATCCCGGCGCGGAGACATCCTAATGTGGAGACAGTCGTGGGCTCTATTGCACCTCGCTGAGCGCGCAGTTTGATTCTGCTCCCACTCATGTTCCTCTCGAGACTTAACTCAGACAGATCTCTCCTCCGGTGTCCGCGGTATACTGCTTGGATCACTCCTATTCCCCGCGTCGAGCCTTCGTGGGAGACGAATCCCATGCCTTGACTCATACACTCTGGATGTTTCGAGAAATGGAAGAGGTTGAGCCCTGCATCGTCGACGAAGACTCCCGATCGACGGCGAATGCCAGCCACAAAAGCTCTTTGTTGGACATTTCCAACCAATTCAGAAAATTTCTGGGAACGAGAGGCTTCCGGGGGAACTTATGACGAGACGGCGTCGTGGAAATTCTCACCTGGAACGAAACTCCGGCAACGGGTCCCCCGCTGGCTGAGAACAGGACAGTCCCCCTCCGGATGATCTTGAATATGTTGACTTGAAGTGCGATAGTGGCGTTCTCCTCGGCGTCCCGCGAGTAGATCGTCACCCCCGCGGATGAGGCCCTGTGTCAACAGGCAACCGACGACCAGGCCAACATCCGGGACGTCGAATCTTCCATCGATCTGCGAGGAATATGAGCGAATTCAGCCTCTCCGAAATTAGGATATACCCCTCTAGAATTGGGAGGTCCTCACTTGGAAGAACGTGGAGAGCCGCATCAGACTTTCTCGTTCCTTTGCCTTGTGTATCGTCGGAAGTATGTCAAGGAACTGCGTACAGAAGATTAAGACCGATGCCGGTCATGCACGACGCCGTCACTATCGGACGCACGGTTCCAGAACGGAGATTTTGGGCTCCTGTGAGAGCATCGTCCTGATTGAGGATCTCCGAAGGGATTTTGCCAAATTTTTTCAGAAGCTCTTCAACTTGAGCCAATGTGGCGAGTAGCGAGGAGCCTGTTCTTGCCAACGGTATCCGCTTCATTCACCACGACGATCACAGGCACCTGGGGTGAAGACCGAACTCGAATCACCAGAGAATTTCCGAGGGCTTCCCACATACCATCGCAGATCCGAGCTCCGGACCGCTCGAATAAAGGAGCGGAATTAGTCACAGGAGCTTCCCCACCCCCTCGACTCACCTGCGAGGCTTGGACGAGGGCCAGATGAACCAAAGCAGCTCCATTCGTGGCGGGTGTCCCGTCAGACCGAACAGCGTCGTCTTAAGGAATCCCCAGTGGTTGGAAGGGTCGATGAACGTTATGATTTTCAAAAAATTGTCGCAGATGTCTTCAGCAGTTCTGTAATGTTTGTACATGATAGGTTAACCACCCGGAATGGAACCTAAGATTTCTTTGCATATGCTCGTAGTATGCCCAGTCTCGATCTCATTTAGATGTCTGAAAACATTCAGCCTCGCACCTCGCACGCCTACGGCCGTTGTCGCCGGATCGCCTTGCGTGAGAGCAACGAGAGGAGAGCTTTTCTCCGCATCGACGTTCCCCAACACTGCGATACGGAGCTCGTTCGTTCGCTGATCATCCGGAAGCCTTCGTACGAGGATCTGAGCAGCCGACAGATTAGCCCCGACATGCTTTGCCGGAGTATCGGCACCCCGGCATCGAGTTCTTCTGTCAGACTGCAGATAGTTCTCAGGGATGCGGCCAACTCTAGGGGATTGTGATCGATATAAGTTCCGCAGTCTTCCACACCTGAAGGTGCAAGGATTCCCGAATCTTCGGAGGCTCTTATGGGCAATATAGTGTCAGAACACAGGACATTTGCGGTTGCTCGAACATCAGAGAGGCAGATTGACGGGCACTCACCGATTTCACAGATTGCTTCCCCCTGACCCCCGCGGAGTTCATATGGGTGACAAGGTTTTCGAATCGACTGTCAGAGGGATCCACCAATTTTAATTTGTGTTCGAAGTAGTTCTCAGGATCAATCTTCCTCAACATCTCATCTTAGGGTGGGATAATTCCCACGACTTCAGACGGGGAGTTTGTAATAGCCGACGACGATCCTGAAAGAGATGGAGGACGGAGATGACGGTAATCAAGACGGGCTCGCTCAGAAGCTCTTCTGCCAACGTCAATTGCAAAGCGATTCTGTGGTGCCAGCTAGTCGTAGATAACGCTTTCGCGTCCGGTTATACAGGAAGAACTCGCTTGTATCATCATGAGGAGTCTGTTTGAGGGAAGACTTCAGAAGATGAAGACGGAGTCCCCGAAAGAGGAAGGTGTTTCTTAGCGTGTTCCAAAGCTCTCCACAGAGCGGTGCCCCCTCTGATGACCACGTCACTTGATGGTTCTGGGAGTGTAGTTATCTCTGCATCTCGAATGTAAGGTATCGATTCAGCCGGGACAGGGGGGAGTCACTTTTAGGTATAGTTACTCTCGGCAAGCTTTGCGGGATAATGATCTCATGGGAGCTGGCGGCCCTGACGAGGACCGTTGTTTTTTGCTCTCATACACGAGTGACTTGAGCATTGTCGATCCTCTTCCGCAGGAGTACAGCCGTGCCATTCGATTCATTCCCCCCACGGAAAGCCGAGCGAAGATAACAGGAAATTATACCAGATTTGTCGTCGTCAATCCTGTTAGGTACTGAATTGTCATTCAATCAAAAATCACCCGAATATTCCGACTTTGGAATAAAGGGATGAGCTTAATGATGAACTTCAATAAACATGGCTGTCGGTCGCTGCGTTTGCCGTGAGAGAGCGGGAGGTCGCTTCCATCCCGAAGTTGTCAGCGATTCCCCGTAGGTGATCGATCGTCGTCCTGGGGTTGAACTGCCGGACTATTGAGAGGATGGCGAGCGGTACCGCCGCCTGGTGACAACCGTAACCGACCGATGTAGTTGTCCTCGAAGTAGTTCAGCACTGACCTCAGCTCTGCAGGCAGCTCGGGAGCTAATTCGCTCATGGCGGTATCAAGAAGCTCCGGCGGCACAAATGCCGGCGCGGGTATCGTACGCGCTCACAGGGCGGAGTCGTCGTCACGATCGAAACGTTCCATGAGTCCGAGTTCCACCAACTTCAACTTCATATCCTTGACCCGATGGGAGAGACAAGCATCCTTCCGGGCGTTCGGAAATGAGTTTTCGAAGGCATTTATCAATCCGAGCTCGGAGTCAAGAGATACCGGCGTAGGATTGAACTGTGGCCATGCCGTACGAAGCAGCTCAATCATTCGCGAGTAGGTAGCTTGACTCTTGTCGGGCAAGAGAGCGTAGCAGATCGGGGAAACGGACCCAAAACGTTTCGCGAGAACGACGAGAACCTGCTGGAAGAGTGTTGGCGCCACGGTGAACGTACCGTCGACGTAGATTTCATCCACGAAACCGATCCAGTCGGCGACAGATTCACGGCCGAAGATGAGGATTCGGTCGTCGACGCCGTAGCCTGAATCTCCGATGAGGGACTTCTCCGAGCGTCCCGGCTCTGCGTGGTTCACCGGATACTCGTCTGGAATTATTATCGAACTCCGATCGGCAGGAAGAGCGGTGGCACTAGCGCACGCTTCCCGCGCTCGATTCAGCCTCTCCGCTAAGACGCGCTTCGACGGAAACTGCATCTGCACGGCCGACGATGCGCCTTGTTGGATGCTGTCGATGAATTGAACGGGAGTCTCTGAACTTTCAACGGCATGGCGTTTCAGTGTTGTCCTTCTGACGGCGACTTCGACGGCGGCCGCGTCAGAAGGATCACTGTGCGTGCCTGAGACGCTGACAGCTTCACCGGAGAAAACAAGACGATGCAAGCGAATCTTGCACGATTTCCTGAAGTGGCATCGCCAGAACTCGGTTCCGTGTTCCGAGCTCAACCTGTCGAACACATGACGGTGTCCCCCGTGAGAAAATTCGTTTCTTCCGCGTTGGGATTTGACGATTTTCAGAGAGTCGGACATAATCGTTGCAGGACGCTCGGCTCGCAAGATTGAGATCGGTAGACGACGGGGCCACACAGAAGTCCGAGAAAACGTGCTTGTGTCCTAACTACAATGTCGGAAGCTACCTTATTTTCTGCATTAGACGGACATGCCCGTCATTTTCAACCCCCCCCCCCGAACCTCGCCCGGCTGCTAGAGGGTGCCCTTCTAATAGAGAGTTTTCGTGTATTTTTCGATCGGTCCTGGATAGTGCGCTCTCCCATAGACGCGCAAGCTAAACGGTGTCCTCCTGATTTAGATTGCCCCTTCATTAGAGGACGCCGGTCTAAAATTCGATCTACCCGCAGAACCCCTCCTATTAGAGGGTGCTCTTCTAGCCGGGAGTGCCCTACTAATACAGAAAATGAGGTATATGACGCTTGATGGGTGCGGTCGTGCTTAGCCGCAACGACAGACGCCGCTCGCGCGAGCTCGATCTCTGCTGCTATGCAAATGCCGTGAGCCCAGAACGACCGGGGAGCCTTGCTCCCCGAGTCCGGCAGATATACTCCATAGATGTTAAGTAGATAATAAAATAATAATAAGCAAGAGAGCCACATGCAAAATTACCTTCCCGGCTCGGGGAATAGTTTTGTTCTGTTTTTATGGCTCCCCTGGCTAAGTCGAGAGCTTCTAAGGTCCCCCAACCATCATTAGGTATTCAAGCTTATGAGCAGGGGACCAGTCGCGCTGAGCTAGTCGCACCCGTTGGCCAAGTGGGTCGCCGTGAGTTGGTCGCGGCCGGTCGGGGCGCTCCACTACGAAGGAGTCACGCTGGCATCAGTCGTCTAGAGCCGACTGAAATCTGAGGAAAAGATGGAATAACTAGAGAGCTCAATGAGGAGTTTATACCTACAGCGCCGGAAAACGGGTGGCATCTCGCCAACCGGGATTCGTGCAAGAGCAGGAAAGACAGTCCGGACTCAGAAGGACACCTCCTGCAAGACCAGATCGACAGCGCCTCCGATTATGCGACCCCAAGACGGCGAATGCTGTCTCTCGAATGCTGCTTAACTCGGACCGATTTCATCGGGACTTCCCGCCGGGAGAAGAAACTCGAGAAGACACACTGGGCAGAAGTATAGAATGATATCCACATAGACGCGTTGCCTTGGTTGCTTGTGAAGGAGCTCGATAGCGGACGACCGACAACAGGAGGCTCTGTTTGAACTTCGACTCACATGGCGCTCGACCGGTGCGCGTCATGCTGCCAGTGTCGCTCCTTGAGCCTGGTTCACTAGTCGGATGCCATGAATATCCATCTGAAATCGCTTTTTCGGGGTGTTTCACGTTTCCCGCCATTCAATGCCGGAATTTCGCCGGGGGGAATCGAGGACCGGCAGGGGTCGGTCAAGGGAATTTAATTCAGCAATATCAATGAAGGAGAAAAGAATTCTGACTGCGAGTCTCGCGCATCTCTTCGAATAAATTCATTTCCATAAGGCGGACGTGGTTTGGTGATTTGCGCCCTCCGTCGATTTTTCTCGGCCCCCCTCACTTGAAGCAGAGCATTTGGCCTTGGCCTCAAGCAATCGGAGTTCCAACGACTGGGAGAACTTTTCAGGGGTGGGGGGCAAAAAGCGACTCCTCGAAATTCCACTCATCCGGGGTCCGACAGTCTCGGAAATCTCTCATGTAACCTCAGAATGCTTTCCTACATGAAAGAGAAAGCATCTTCTCTTGCCTATATTTGTGAGAACCAGAGAACTTGGAAGGCTGAGAACGTCGGAATTATCCATGACTTTCCGAGGTACGCCGTAATTTTCGCGCGGAAACCATCTGACGTCGGAGGGATCGACCCGGATGAGCGTGAGATTCGGAGTAGACGCTGAGATTCGACCGCTTCGGCAACTATTCGGTACCAACTTGGAGCTCCCCCTCCGATTTATTGGTCGCAGTAGGAAACCAGGGTTACAGCCCATTGCTCCGAAACCCATCGAAGATACTTGCTTAAGAGCGGTGAATCCGGATGGTAATATGTCACCGCGGTCTCGCTCGATCAGGGCGCGAGTGATATGGGGTTCATTCCGGTTCGGGTGGAATTTCGGAGGGGCTCACTTAGAGTGCGGAACGAAAATCGGGAACCTATGGAGCACCTCGGATCGGTTTCTACATAGGGCCTTCGAAGACTTTCTCTGAATCTATTCTCCTCCGCGAATTCGGCCTGGAAAGGTGGAGGGATCTTGCCGAATCGACGGGAGGACGAGGAGAAATGATGAGCTGCTCCCAGCGACCTACCTCACGTCTCGAATGACAGGAGCTTCATGATTCGAACGAGGGAACAAGCGAGGCTCCCGGAGCTGCTTCGTAGCTTGCTTTATTATCCCAAAGCTTACAGATGAAGTAAGTTCCCCATGAAACACTTTCTCGGAGTGGACCCCTGAATACCGCTTCCGAAAACAGATCGACTGTGAGAAGCTCGAAGCGTGTATTCCTTCATAGCTACATTCTTGGCCTCGGACACTAACCGCAGGAGTCTCTCGTTTACTATCGAGTAAGCTCATCGAACTCCACGCAATTTCCGAATCCTTCGACATAGTTCAATCGCGGCGGTTCTGTTCTCTAAGTAAGAGCATGACACCGAAATCATGAGCGAGAATCGGATGAAAATCTGTTTCGAATTCGTTTCCTCTATGCGGCCTAAAGTTCTAAAATAATGGAAGGCATAAACATTCACTGACGATTCAGATCATGTCATCATCAAAAAGTAGCTCGGGAGGACTGATTCAGATTCATCGGGGTTCACCCAATCGTGTAGAATGGAACAGACGCTCCGCGCAAGAAACAGGTTTCGAGGGGAGGGAGACGGTGTATGGATCACGTTCCCGAATCAGTCAGTCGACGGCAGTGATTAATAATGAGTTCGGATTTCGCTCAATGCTCCCTGAGTAGAATTTACGGCAACACAATATATGCGGAACGATACGTGTCTCATATAGGCCGTTTAGGTAAAGAGGTATCAAAGCTTTGCGAACCTTGCCTGCAAACAGCGTTCATCACTTTGCGGCTGAATTGTCTCGCGGCCCAAAAGGTCGGGCGTACATGTCGCACCTCAAGAGGCACAGCACCTCTCATCGATTCCCCCCTCCCTCCAGGACTGTTCCCCAACGATTATCATCTTTCCCTGAGTCTCCCTCATTGCTAGGAACCGTTTTGCTCTTGAAAACTCTGACGGGACATCTTGTAAAACGTGTTCTACTGTATGGAGTTCCGGTAATTTGCGTTCTCGAGATCGCTCATTGTTTATCCAAGTAGTATGCCGAGTTCGATCACTGGGCTGAATCGATCGATAGAACGGAAACGTGGGGAAGAAACGTTCAGGATACAGATTTGTTTGATTCTCCCCTGGAGCCGGGAACGCGAGCGTTCGGCGGTTCGCTTTTGCTCCGATGATGAACCGAATATTGCCTGAGAAAGACACGAAAGGGATGGGTCTTCAGTAGATTGAAAGGATTCGGACTGCACCAAATGATGGTTTTCAGATGCCTTCCCCCAGATCCTTTCGGATACTGCGCAGGACATGAGGGGGAGGTCGGGTCAGGATGCTGGGCGACGCACCTGTACTCGGGTGGCAGAGCTCCCAGAATTTTAAGTCTCCCAGAAATTGGATCGGTAGGCTCATCCTCAAATATGGAGCCTGGAAGCGACGAGCGTAGGAATTTCAGATGACGGAGACCAGAAAAAGTCTCGCGGACCGCATCTCCCATTCAAATCGGTGACAAACCTGATCTCCACCTAAATAATTTCTGTCGGCGTCGCGGATTGAACGGACAGCCCATCTCGCTCATCAAATGGACCTGGAAAAGGGGCGAAGAGGGCATCTTAGTGGTATTTTCGAGAGCTAAACGATTAAGCTTATGCTCCAACCTCTCGAACAACTAACTTTCCAAGCCTCCTCGCCCGGGGGAAGTTCTGATGGCATAGCGGGCAGTGGTTAGCATGACTTGGCGGTTTCGCCGCTGAAAATATCACACATTAGATCCCGTTCAAGCTACCAGTAGATCTTCTCATCGATAGGGAGTGCGCGAAACGACGTGGAGCCCTACTTACGTATGCAAGTACGCAACTTGACATGACCCTCGAATCTATTCTTGGGAATAGCTTCTTTGCAGCGAATGCATAGTTTGTATTGATGACGGTGACTGCATTCGTCGAGAAGATGTCGAGTCAAGCCGCTTATCTCCACCACCTTTAAGGATTGTTCCATTACTGATATGTCGTGATGTCCGACGTTCGCCGATTTATTTCAGCGAATAGTCCTTCAGCGACCTCCGCTCCGATGACGACCCAACTTCTCCATTTTCGAGGAAATATCCATTGCGATGATCCCTACCTGCTTGCAGTTCGGGCAGAGCATCAGCATGGGACACTCTGTCCAGTAGTGATAGTTGAGGGTCTCTGCGTTGAAGCGCTCGTCCGTCTCTTCGCAGAACATGCACATGCTGCAAATAATGGTTCTTGCTCAGAGTGTCCGAGCCTCGCATTGAGCTCGGAGTAATTGTCCACAGACTCCCCCGCTCTTCGCTCACCGATCGAGATCGAAATGTACGGCGTCTTGCACCGTTTTCGTTATGTCATTCATGGAATGGGATTGTGAGATTGATGATTGCTGAACAGCACGTGTCCCGTTCGACGAAGATGGAGGCTCAACTGAGGCTGATCGACTTCGTCTAGGTATCGTGGCCGTGAGTGTTGTCGGCTCGCGATCGATTTTCTCGAATTCCTCGAATACTTTCCTGTAGAAGGCGAACGCATGGATTGACGGTTGAGCTGTCACCAACTTCGATCTTTTAGTGGCGGCTCCCGAATGGAGACATGTGCGTCGCGTCGTCCGTCCGAAGCATCTTGCTTAATCCTCTGGTCAAACCAACCTGTAGGTGAAGTTCCTCTGCAGCCGCACACTCTCCGGAACGAGACATTGTCGTACGGGGGTTCCGATTAGCCGATACAGCGCGAGGAGAATCTGTTCGGCCACTTCTCGTACCTGGAAATTTCAAGAACATCGTTTGGAGCGAAAAGCTGGACTTCTCTCTCTGATTTCCCCGTTCCCGTGGAATCGAGCAAAACTCGCTCTATACGCTGGAGGAGCAGCAGCAGCAGCTCCGCACAGACCTGGATTGCCGGATGAGAAAGGGCTCGGATCGCGAAATTCATGACTTGGGTGAAGAGAGGATCCCTGAAAGCAGAGAAAACTGAGGAGCTGGATCGAATAGGTCTTCGCATCGCGTCGGTTCGCGAATCTCTCAGTCCATTCGAGCTTCGAAGCTAAATGTTCGAGAAACATTTTCCACTTGGGGACACCTTACGTTTCGCTCAAAGGTGGTGTCCTCGCTATCAACTGATCCACAAGTTCTGCTCTTCCTTGGGCCAATCGAGGATTCGTCGTATCGGTAAATGGTTTGAGGATGATATTCAGCGACGTTTGGACAGTTTTCGAATCTTCGTAGTCAACCTTGAAATTTTTCGCCAAATTGAGTGATCGTAATCGTCAGTCGAGTGGCATGAAATATGTATCGGCTTGCTATAGATACTTACCATTTCAAGCAAGAACTCTTGAGCGATGGACTTCAACCTCGGCGCAGCTGGATCACCGAGGCGGAATAGGATCCGCGGGACAAGTTTGTTGATGGCTAGCGTTGTGTCCACACGGGCAACTCGATGGAGAATCACAAAGCGCGTGAATAAGGCTTGCATGACGTTCAACGACTGGATAAAAACCTGTCGCAAGATTTTTCTTTGCTCAGAATTCAAGTATCATGTTAGTCCTCTCGATACCAGGATCCTGGACTCCTTAAATATTTGCGTTGGATAGGAACGGAATCAGATGGAATGAATTTGAGCAAGACTCCTCACCGACAGGACTTTGTCTCGGAATCCTCTTTGAAGCACAAAAGCGCAGGCTCGCAAAACTTCTTCTGGCGAATGTCTGCTTCTTCGGGCGTTGTATCTTAATCGAAATAATCAGATCAGCATGAGCGCTCAGTATCTCGCGGAAACATTCATGAGCAATAGGAACTCGAGTCTCCAGAGGGCGCTCACCGATCAATGACTCGCAGTATTTCCTTGAAAGCATCCTCCCGCTGAATGAAGTTGCGCGAATACAGCTTCTGCACCAAACGTAGCCCAAACACTTCGATCGGGAGCGACGCCTCCTGCAACGAGAATCTCTTGATAGACGACCTCTTACACGGGAGAGGCTTCAGGACAGAATTTGCGAGTTGCTACCGCGAACCTGTCTGTCCTTGAGAGACATCCCGCCCAAGACTAGGTCTCTGTCGAATTCTTCGATGTCCTCCGTCACCGCTCGGCTAGACGACAGCAACTTATTTTCGAAAGTGTAGGCGGAGCACGTCGTTGGTATGCTAGTCGGCTTCGGCAAACGAGAATGATAGACCTGGGAATACGGTGTCCCTAATTATTCGATTCTATCTCCCAGCTGTGCGAAGATGACCCCGCCCACGATTTTCAGGTAGGTACCTTTCTGTCGTTTGCTTTGAACAGGGCATCTTTACCGTTCATACTCTGAAAACACCAGAGGCAAGTTGTCAGATTGGGTCCTTGGTACCTCTTTCTATATCGGCGTCGAGGATGATCGCTCCATGTCTCTCAATTACCTACCTTGGAGTGGTGGGTTGTCGTGGTTATGTTGATATGCATCGGCTGCTGCTGATGTTGTAAGGCACCAGGTTTTTCAGGCGATGGAACCGGACCTGGTACCACTGAGTCCCGCTCGGGGTTGTACTATTACGGATGAAATTCGAGGTGAATGACCTCAACTATTGAGATATCTGAGATATCTCCTGACAGATAAGGAGTGACTCAAGAGCTCCAGTCTCCGATCCGGTGAAATATGGATTAAGTATACTCACGCCCTCCATTTCCATCAGTTCAGGTAGCCTGAGATGCTCGTAGGCATTCATACGGTAAGTTTGCATTTCATCCTTGATACGACGCGCTCGATCAAAGTCCTCGGTTTCCACCGCCGTTTGTTTGTCGATCAGCATTTTGGCTAGGCGCTCTCCCACCTAGTCGAGGAATGCGGAATTGATTCGGGAACCAGTCCTGGTACAAACTAGTTTTCTGCTCAATTTTATCGCTTGAAGAAAACGATTGACAAACCTTCTGAAGCTCGCCAATTGCATGTTTCAGTTTTTTCGCGAAGACGAAACGCTCCTCTGTAAGCAGAAACGAAGAGTGATCGAAGATCTCGATCTCTTCCGATTTTGGTATCATCGCAATGCACAATCGTCGCGGGAGAGTCGAATCTCGCTCTCGTCGGCAACAGTCATACTTTAGTGTCGTCGAATTTCTGTTCGGTCTCATCATACTCTCGATCCACGAGGTAATTATTCACGAGGCTCTCGTTGTTGATAGTACGTGACTCGCTTGATACGTGTCAAAGCGCTGAGCTTTTGGCCCGAATGTCTGCTCCAATTCGGAGGACTGGCCGCGTTCAGCGAGAGCTTCGCTGTGTTCGGAATTTTTTTCCATGACAGAGTCCGAAAGAAGACGGTATAGGTATCAGTCGCCAATCGCAGTAATCGAATTTACCGTTAATGGCATCTCTCTTTTTCTGCTCCAGTTTACGTAGAATCTGTGCCACTTCCCCGTCGACGTACATGTCGAAAGCCAGGTCATCCATCGGAGATATTTCCTCGTTTCTGAAAGATACAAGACCGATAGATTGTGCATTAACGACTTGGATAATTCCGAAGATGATAACCTACCTTTTGATGATGCTCTGCCAATTCGCCTGTAAAAAGCGCATTTGCATTCTAAACGATGGAACCTTTACCACATGAATACTCCGAAGAATCGGCCGCGAAACACGTCGATGTCAGAATCGACAGAATCAATATCGCCCCGTTCCCCCCATACTCACTCCAGGATCCGAACTCTTCAGGAGCTGATCATCGTCTCCGATCATATTCAACGCAATTATGCCGACCTACAAGCGGAAGGGCTGAATTCATTTCCGCGAGATACCCCGTGAGGATCAAAGCCAATCTCCCTCTTGATCATGCACTCTGAAGATTCACTAATCTGCCAGGGATTTCAATACCGTCAATTACCTGATTATAAACATTATGCTTGTTCACATGGCAGCCGTGAATGACTAGTTTCACGAAATCCCCCACAGCGTCGACGAGGACACTTTTAAGTTCCCGGCTCTTGTACTCCGAATGAACATTGTCCGCTAACGTTATTTCCCTGCGAAGTAAGAGATACTCCGTCACCTTACGCTATCCGCAGCATTTCCTTGCCAATGCTCACGCGTCCCAGGTTCCGGAAGCCGACTACGCACCCTAAGTGATGCCATTTTGCAGCTTGCAGACCCAAATCAATAGCTTTAGACGGGATGGAGCCGACGTAGATATCCATTGCGTTTGCTGGAATGGAAATCACGTACTCAGAAACAGAATCTCCGGAGTGAGTGTGTGTTCCCAAACTCGAGCTACTTTGGGCTAAGGGATGGGTTACACGAAGTCACGAGATGCTGACGAATCGTTGAGGATATTGTTCCCAGAAAGACTTGAGAATTTGAGGAGCACCACTCACGTATGCAATACTGATGGGAGAGGATCTGGATTCTGCAGATTCTACACTTGGACTCCATCCGCACGACGACTTCTTGTGGATAATTGCAGTATCTGGAATTTCGTCAACTCGATTGATTATGACAGGCATTTTTTTCCTTCTTGAGCATTGAGCTGTTTCTGCTGACGTCACATCAAGAGTTTGAAGAATGCAGATTCAATTCTCGCGTTCTGTGCAATCGATGCACGTGGACAATGACGGAGAAAACCGTGAGATACTGCTCCGGGAGTGAAGAATAGAAGCCCAGGAGCTCACAATCAGAGTCGGCTCAAATGGGTACCGTGAAGTTCCCACAACGAATCGCCTCTTGATGCCATGCCGCAGGGAACCCCAGCTCTACGCCCCTTAACCGACACGGAGCGAAAGTCCTTAATCTTTCTCGAAGTCCCTGAGTCTCGACGATGACTAACGGGGAAACGCCGCGAGCCTCGAACCGCCAGCGGCGCTTTTGCCGTGACTTGCAAAACCATGCACCAGAGAAAGTCTAGAATGTCGGAGAACCAGGTCGGATAGAGTTCGTCATCGGAGCTCGGTGTTGAACAGCTGAGTCGGGCGTGCGGGGATGGAACCGCAGCGCATCAAAGAAAGGGAAAAACTCGATACAATACTATCTAATCAGAGATGGATGATTTCCGCTGCGGGAGTGCTCCCACGTCCTCATTGAAATGTGCCCCTTTCACATTCTTGCGACCGAGACGATCTCCCTCACTATGTATCAGGATCCGGAGCTCTCGTCCCTTCACCTCACGTGGAGGCAGAGGTAGAGGGTAGAAGGCGCATTCAAGTCGGGACCATTTCGCGCTCCCCCGCGGCGTACACCCAAGCATTGCGACTGCGGATTTTCTGCGGGCGAAGGGAAGACGCGGGGGGGGGAGGTATAGAAAAATCGTGTCGGGGAGCGCTGAGTCGTCCGCTCGCTTCGGGCGCCGTTGGGGCTAGAATGGAGCCATCAATGTGGGTTCAAATCAGAAAGGATCGTTCCCGTTACGTGGACCGATCCTCTCGATTCCTGTGTCCGAAATTTTTCCCCGACTCCGGACGGCGGTGAGTCCTGCCAAGAGGTCGTTTTCCAGATTCCAATCTGAAGCATTTGTACCCGTGGATGATTCCCGGGAGCATGCATCTGCCCAGAGCTCCGTCTACCTCATCTCTTCAGCCTTGCTCATAGTTTCTATCGCGGTGAAAATTCCGACTTGCTTAATCGCTCTCTCCTGTGAATTGTCAACGATCCGTTTTCTCGTTCGGTGAAAGGCTCCGGGAATGACAATTGATCAAGCGTAGCGGTCACGAGAGCAATCGTCGAAAATGCGTTGCGTCGCAGCCTCGTATGGATTCTAGATCTTCCGCGCCGATTTAGGGCTCTCGGATACGATTCGACTTCTGTCCGGGCTGGATTCGTCGCGCCGCGGAGGGCCGCGTTGCCCTTCGCAGTTGCCCCTGATTGTCATCCTCTTGTTCCCAGAAATCACGGTCGAGGTCAAGTCTGGAACTCGTGTTCTGGCCCATTCTCATGCTCGGCGGGTGGGGCTCGATGCGTATCTGCTGATGTGAATAGCATAATTATGCCGAACGCGGTAATGGCTATTCATGGCAGCGTGCTGACACCGAAGGGCACCAACAGAGATCACGCTCACGCCGAGCTGCGATATCTGAATTTTTCCGCGGAGTGCATCATCGATATGAGAATCGAGGGAAAGGGAGTGCGGGTCGTCCTTCGTACAGCCCCACTTTCCCAGCACACGAAGATGCCTGTGTCGGCGGAAATGTCCCAAGACCCTCGTTTGGTTGGCCGGAGCACATCGGATACACCCTTGTGTAGCTGAACTGATTCTGTACTGAGGTCGACCTCGTCGGTCAGGTTGTGGTGAGCGTTGCCCATAGGAGACCCGTGTCACATCCGACCGAGGCATTCGAGAGACACAATGAGCGCTTGTGCGTGATTGAAGTAACCCAGAACAGAGCGGCTCTGAAAGTCCTCCAAAAATTATCCGAACCCACGACCTCAATGTGTATGGGTCCAAAACTCGCCGTGTAGACTCGATTCGTCTGATGGAGCAGCGATAAAAACGCGAATCGCTCCACGACTCGCGAGCCAGTATGATAGCCCTAGACTGCTTCTGTTCGAAGCATCGGGAACAGGCGTATGGGACACCATGTGGACGTCGGAGGTGTGGGGCGAAATTCGGCCCTCTTCGAAGCGGCAAGATTCGGCCTTCGGGATCCAGCATCCTTTAGTGCGGTTCCCGAAACCCGAGGCCCCAGCCGGAAATTCTCGACTGTGATACTCCTCCGTGGGATGGCCGCATGTGGAGGAGCCTTCTGCGTGCAGAAAACCTCATAGAACCGAATAGCCTCATCTGAGCTCACCGGGACTCGTCCGCCCGAAGAGTCGGCGGCGACGCGACAGAGCGGAACGTCCCCGGCGACGCTGGGGCCGGGGGCGGTTTCGGTGAGAGATGATGAGTCTGTCTGGAGCCGAATTCCCGATGTGGGGCGTCGGAAGATCTTGCTTAGCACGGAGCTCTGCGTTTTACACGAAATCATGGAAGAGCTCGAAAACCCTCCGTTTGGTCGTTCGAGAATAGCATTGAACTCATTCTCGATAACATCATTAGGCGAATCGCAGCGATGAAGATACCGTGTACGCTCTGTACATAGAACTCCCGAATACCGGAATCAGAGCAACGGAGAGACTCGATATACTCCGCTTGCCTCCGATTAAAGGGAGGTCAAACTAGCCAGAAGTTCATCAGTCAAACCCGCTGAGGAATCTGTTCCGCAAAGAGCTCAGAATCCACGCATTGTGCGGGATGAATTGGATTCAAAATGGAGCGTGAACTGGAACTGGAATCGAAATCCACACTGAGTTCAGATCGTAACTATCATACAAGGAGACCAAAAGACTAGACGTAGGATTGTGCGACTACTTCCGCGAGAGTCAGCTCCTGGCACTCATGAGGCCAGGGATGCTCAACATCAGGAAACGACGACCCGACCGCGGCCCTCCTGTCGACTGCAGCTGCCCAAGATATGGTACAGCCGAAACGGTCGAATATATCGTCTTGTGATGTGAGGTAGAAATGCTCTCTCCCGATAAATAAGAGCACAGAATCGGACTTCCACCGGACAAGCCACAGGGAACCACTTAAGGAGCGGAGGCGACCCTAAACAAGCAGGAGAGACAGGATCTGTGAACGAAATACGTCTCAACCCCCAATTGAAAGGGATGATATGTGCATATGATAGATTAAGATAAATCAATCCATCAGACATAAGAACCAAATCCGGAAGGGTAAGGTGCTCCGAGGCTTTGCCGCCGTCGGGCATCATCGGCGAGCCCACAATCCTGTCACCGACGAACGTCCCTTGCCCAGCACTGAATTCATCAATCTCAATGAGCTCCGGCATGACCAAAAACCACAAAAACGGAGGAACTTGACGCTTCCCACCGAGGACGATCTTCTCCCCTCCGGCTGCCATCAGGAAATCTACCAGCCTTCGGTCAAAAGTCCCGAACGCAGAATTCAGCAGAAAGTATGAAGCTACCGGACTATGCTTCGAGAGAGGTTTCCTTTTTCAGCGCATCTGCTGCAGATCTGCACTCGCGATGGCCTTTATTCCGGGAATACGCCACGCGAGCCCGCGCAGTACGGAGTCCCTACAGCGGAATAGCACAATGGACACATCTCGTCCGTGACATCTGGCATTCAAAATAACAATCCTCGAGCTTAAGAAGCTTCCACGGCAAGTTCGGGGTTCTTGGCGATAATACAATGACTGTCGCGATCGTCGCGATCGTCGCTGGCCGCTTCAATTTGAGTGTCGGTAGCTGCTCGGCTATCTTTGCTACCCTAACCGCCCCATGGTCAAACGCGCTGGAACGAATTCAAGGCCCAGGTCCACCATAGAAACTCACGCGTCCCCCTCCCTTCAGTTCCCCCGCGTCAAGGACACAGAGCCGTGCCAAGGTCTCTACTAGCCTTCACCATTATGGTAGAGCACGAACAGTCGCTCGAGGATCACATTGGCTCTGGGGCATAATTCTGATGGTTCGGAAAATAAGAGCAGATTCTCGATCCTCGAGACGACCAGACACCGAGGGAGTAGGGTGCGAGGTTGTCGTTGTTGTCATTTGTTCACTACAAGCACGATCATCACCATACAATCTTTGCCAGATCAATAAACGAATCTACACGCAAAAGAAAAGGTCGACAGAACCGACGCGGTTCTATTGTCTACTCTATTGGAGGTCATTTCGACTCGACACGAACTGCGAATTTACATGTAATGTCAACGCACGCCTCAGAAGCTACACGAAAGATGCGCGACTATGGCCACGGGCGGGATTCGCAGCTCCATTCAACCCAATTCAGTTCTTCATTGAGCTCCGGAAGCGGCCGTTTCTGTGAGTGGTAGCTGGATAGCGTCAAGATTTTCCTCGCGGACTAGATCGTGGAATTTCTCGGACATCATTCCAAGAAGTAAACATTCAATCCTACCAATTCGGGCTTGGGGAGCTGGGTACATTCTCTGAAAGGCCTAGGCTAATCAAGTATCGACAGAACCTCTTCGGATCGAGCTTCTCCGGGGAGCTGACTTGAGAACTGAGCCTTTTAGTCACTGAGTAGGAGTCAGTGGAGACCCCGTGATTCAATCATTCGCTTCATCGGAACACGGAGGGGAAGTCACTTTGCTCGTAACATCCGTTGTGAATAAGCTCATGAGCTAAGCTAAGATGGCAAAAATCGCGCTTCCTTTCCGCGAGAGAAGCTCGGTAGGCGCGATCCGCGGTTGTGACCCTCTGACAGTATCGCTCAGCAGAACGGATCGAGCTGAGTGAGATCGGGTATTCGCTCCTTATGATGATGTTCTGATGGGCAGAGCTTTCACCTATCCATGCGCGGGATTGAATTCTGCACTCACTTTTTAGAGAGCCATCCTTTGATTGTGGGGCCGTGCTGGTTGAGCTCACTAGCCGCATGATCCTCGTCTTCACTAGTCACGTTGATGACGCGAAAGGAAATTTTGCGTGGCATCTCTCGAGTCACGAAACGATGCTCGGGAATTTCGCGAAGCTGTACAATTTACAAAGAGAACAGGGAAACAGAAAAACCGCCAGCCGAAACACTGGATGTATGAGATGAGATGCAATAATTGTGGTGGAGCAAGACCGACGAGTGGCTTCGAGACGGCTCGTAGAGGCTCCTGAACAATCCACCTACTCATGACCCAGTAGTCACCAGGCGGCGCTTTTGGTTCAGCACCATGGTCCAGCACCACGACCCCTTCCGGGTCTCTACGGGCGCAGCGAGGGGCGACTGTGTACGTGCGACCCACATTACCTCCGCTCGAGGACAGCGGTGTGTCCAGGAACTTGGGCTTATCCTATCGAATTGAATAATAGACATTCGAGGGAACATCGCCGGGGACCTGGCCTGGTTTGCGAAGCACAATGGACCGTTGTCTAACTACTATTGTCGTTGTTTCCTTGGCCCATCGACATTATACATGTGATAATTTCCATGAATTCATGATTACGGCCCACCGCCGAGGAGCATAAGATACATGCTCCAACTTTTTGGGGCCAGAGGGCCACGCGCCACGCCGGACAATCTGAGCGAGTTTGGAGAAATCGCCTTTTTCCGCTCCGATCGAACTGTCGGAGGATGTGAGCGTGATGGACAATGCAATTGAACGAGAAATGACTGGCCGTGGGGTTTTCCATTCTTATGAGAAATGCCATAGGAGCCTTCAGACCGTGGAGCTCCCGTATTCATCGTATGCATCGTCTACCCGACAAGCTGAAAGTCTCCCAGACCCGGAACGCATGCGTGATCTACAAGGAGTCTCAAGATCGGGCACCCCCTTTCTGGGATGCCTGCCTCCAATATCCTGTTCCATAGGTGCCGGCTCCTCGCCGGAAGAGAGCAGAGCGATGGACGCCCGATGGATCAGGATGGAAAGGAGATCAATCTTGCGGAAATTTTACATCAGCTCCGCCCCGCCTTAACCACATGTGATATAAACATAAAGGAATGCTTCAATTTTGCCACCCATGCGAGCTATGCAGGTTTGGTGATGCTCCATCTTCCGAGTGTATTTGTTTGCTGGATAAAAAACACCGACCTGGAATGTCGTCATACTCGAATTATTATGACAAGGTATCCGGGGCAATGGAGCGAATGAAATCTGGAATGGAGTCACGTCATCCATGTTGATATTGGATCGGAGATAGCTGTGAAAATCGTCCGCGAGAGCAACGCGCCCGCCTTCATCCGGAAGCCTTCCACGCTCGAAGTCCCGACGTTCGAGCGATGCGATTCACATACATGATCGGAATTTCCGTCACGATTGTTCGAAAGAGCACGAATTCTAGTGGTGCGCTATCCAATCAGTCGATCTGGTAGCTCACCGGAGCCTGCGGTGAGATCAATTTGTGTCAATGCGAAATCGGGGTCACGAAAAAGCTTCGATCTCCGAAAATATATCCGGAGCTCAGCCCCTTTCCTTGGAATCCGAAAATCATACATGATCAACCGGATAACGTTCTCATCGGACGGATAGTCCCACCACTCGAGGCTGCGGAGAATCGGATTATCCAAAAGGGATTGGCCATGATTATGCTATTCACCCGACCACGTGAAGCAGCGTTGCAATGACGCAATCGCATGTATGATAGATACAATATTTATAAAAGGTAGCTCGTCATCAAGACCTAGGATCGGTGCTCCCTGACAATGAGCGGATCGTGGGGCGAGATGTTCTCAGCATTTCGCAGATGCTCCAGGAATCCGTCCAGTGTGAGGGCATGCGGACTCAGATTGCAGCAAGAACCCGTGCCCAATGGGGCTGAGCGGAAGGAACATTCTCCCTTCGCCCTTGTTCTCTGTGGCTGCTCCCAATCTGAAAACGCGCTGCCGATGAGATTCGGATAACGGTGCACAAGGCCCAAAGCGAGGGTATTCTGAAGGTCGATGGAAATGATTTATGTGGTGACCCTGTAGAAAAATATATATATATCCGATATAAGGAGCAAGAATTTTGACGGGCCTCTCGTGTCTCTCTTTATCTACCAGAACGAGAGATAGTCTTTGTCTGGCGAAGCACCTGACCGAAATCCTTAGAATCTCATCGTGAAGGGTCCCGAGCTCAGTCGAGGGGGTCCCGTCCTAGACATAGATCAGCGACCGCTGCTCCGGAGGCCGAGAAGTCGAGGACGTTCACGTAGAGAACTTTTCAACTATCGGTAAAGGCCAGTTGAGAGAAGGACGGTGGTTCAGAGTCACTTATGGAGATTACCGCCCGCTCCGACAAATGATAGAATCCTCTGACACCGTGTCCGCGCCATACAGGACTTTTTATGTCACTGAATCACAGCATAGAATGACATTTGGAGTCGGGGAAACTCGGAGCAAAATCCACGAGGATGACCTCAGCAAGAGCGCGCCACAGAAGAGAGGCGAAGGGGTTCAACAGCTCTCAGCCGCGTCGTGAACGGCGTAAATTTCGCAGTGGGTCAGGCGGGGACTAGGTCAGAAGGGGGCAAACCGAATCGTGATTTGCCGAGTCGGGCGGGTACGTCACCGGCGAATAGTTGGGGGTCGACGGACCCGAGGCGGATTGGAAATTATTTTTGTCCTCACAGCAAAGGCTTATGATTTTGTGAAGAAAGACATCATCCCCCTTCCTCAACCGACATCTTCTGCCTGACCGTGTTAGTCTCGCATCGCAACTAGCTCTGAACGTGGATCCAGCTCAAATAGTCTTCCAGTCAAGGTATTGATGGCGCGCTCAATTGGTTTCTCTCTCAAAGATCTTGGCGGCAGCAGCGATCGATATTGCGAATCATGATCTCGGAGGTACCGCTCATTTTCCAAATCCTTTTCATGCAAGTGCTGAATGGTCGAAAATCGAGAGCGTGTTCGTCGATCGCCCGCAGATCAGAAGGATTTCATTCAGTTGGATGTAGCAGTCTTGTCACGTGAGGATTCGCGGGACACAATGCTCGAATCTCAGGTTACAGCCCGTTGCTATGGGTCACCATATGATGAAGTACAAGTCATCTGGCGTGTTATTGCCTGTGCCGACCATGTGCACGTTTGAGCTAGTAAAATGAGCCATTCTTCACAATGCGACGATTCCGGAAACTCTACAGTCAATCACCGTTCTCAGCCTACTCGAACTCTTCGATCATAAGGAGATCCTCATGCGCGTCTGGTGCCGATTGTGACCAAGATTGCCGCTTCTCAGTCAGATGAGTGATCCCCATCGACGCAATGTTCGTGCAGGGGGATCAAGCGCACATGAGCACGACGGCGAGGACTCGCAGCTGACGGGCGCCAATCAATCGGAAAACTTTGCACTCTCATCAGCACCCACACAAAGCGCCGCTGTTTCCATGGAGGCGATAGCGAAAAATCCCCTCGCAGTAGCCTCTTGCTCCCCTAAGAATGATATCTATCCAGTCGCGGCGCGCGGAGTCCACAGCGTGGCTTGGGCCCCCGCGAGCTGCAGTGCCCTTCTACTAGATGCGCGGTCCCCTCGATTCCGACCTGCGCAAAAATATACGTATCTGTCCTTCGATCCCTTCCCGCGAGAAAAATGCATCTGTCCTCCGATTCCCGGATACGTTCGCACATACCGAAGCATCGATCAAATGGACGTCTGGATGCACGGATAGTTCGGACTGAGCGATAGGTTCCGGATGAATGTACACGTGACACACGTGTGTGGTGCAGGAAGAGCTTCCGCTGTCGGCTGCCCGTGGGGGGGGGTCCGCGCTCATTAACATGGAGTCGACAGGGCGGCCGTCAAGGAGATGAATTGTCGGCAAGGCCTCCTAGATATGCTTCCAGGAGAAAGTCTTGATGGTGAGCCGGCGGCGGTACCTCTCGTCAAAATAGCGATCGCCTTTACACTTCCTCGTCGGACAATCTGTATCTGACTTCCCGCCAAGCTTTCAACCAAAATCCTTCCAAAGCTTTCAACCGACTGAACTTGGAGATAAGCCTGGAAGGATGATTTCACACATGAAACTATATTAGCACGTATTCGAGCAGCTTTAATTTGTTCCTATGTCTCATTGGAGAAATCAGAATTGTTTTTCCACCGAGCATTCGGCTGCGCACGGCACAGGCTTCTCGATTGCGGCCCACGTGAAGATCGTCGGTAGAGGTTGACATGTTCTGCTCTCTCAACAGTGATGTCCATGGGTACATCTTATTTCCTGTAACTGGGAGCTCATTGTTCGCAATCCCGTGGATCGATGCGCATCGATTAGCGTTGTAGCTGCTCATCAGTCATCGAGATCGAGATACCCCTTCCTGATACCTCATGCTGCATTCAATTCCTCTTTTCCGACGCATTGTCATTTCCGATCCGCATTTCGCTCAACGGCGGAAGATTGTATTTCTTCCGTATTGCAGGAATCTTGAGCGTGTATGCCTGCGAATCCCCATCATATCAGTAGATCCGTGAGGCGGACGAATAAGACAATCAGAACGGTAGAAACACTTCTCGTGGAATAACTAGGAGACTCACCAACCCGAGGGAAACGAAGTTGTTCGTCGCCCAAAAACACAGAACGGCCGCTGGATATTTCATTATCAGCGGGAAAAAGATGACTGGGAGGAATCGCAGGACTTTCATCGCATTGAACTGGTCCACCCGGACGGGAGTTTCTGCTCCGATCTCCCAGAAAAAGACTCTTGTCAGTACACAGATTTTTCTCCGCCAATGTGGCATTATGAGGGGACATCATAAGCAGCGGACATTGTTTCCGGGAGGTCTGATGGATGGGGCTCCGTCATTCTTCCAGAAGAATAGCCCCTCGAAAGGATAATCGAATTCTGAATACTCGGTTGTTGGCGAACTCTCCGATCAGGAGCGCCTCATACTATCAGAGCTAATGAGGGGTTCTTCCGATCGATGGGACAAACACGCTTTGGTCGAAAGAATATCTATTTTTACGGATTTCGGACCTCTCAATCGTCAGTCATCAGGTCATCGTCCGGCTGGAGATCCATGCTCCCGGAGAAGGAGAGAGAAATCACTTCTAGCCGCGGTACATGAGTGTGAGGAACCCAAGAATGAAGCAACATTCTCCCTCCTACCGCTCCTAAGAGAGGCTCCGACTGCCGCTTTCGAGCCCTTGCCGACCACGATTGGGAGGACATCCGAGCTTCAGGTTTGAAACGGAGGCGAGACTCACTTCGATGATGGCAGCGAGAGTAGCACAGGTCATCAGAGGGAGTAGATAGTAAGGGTCTGCAATCGTCAGATCGGGAAACCATAGAAAGCCGCCGGTTTTCAAGGACTCCACGGGAGCGATGGCCATGCTTCTCAGAGCCAGGAATAAAGAAATGAATATCGGTGCCTGTGAGGGAAAGAGGTTCCAGGTTGCAGGAGACTTCATTCATGCGTCCAGAATCAGAAAAAAATCGATAAGCTCGCCACGGACGTACCTGTGCAACAGACGGCAGGGTCTGTTTCAACATTGCGCGGGGATATTCTCGCGCCATGATGCCGTTGAAGTCCTGCAGAGCTCTGAAAACGCATGAGAAACTCTTGATATTCCCGTGGTTGTTAAAGGACAAGGAGTGGCGGTGAGAGACGATTCTTGAAGCCTTCTCAGTGGAGCCGGTAGAATGACGAATATGTAGGTAGATCATCATTATAGAACGCAGAAATGATCTCAATCAGGATAAAAGAAGTTCGAGGCGCACTTGGCTATCTGTTCGTGGTCCGCTCCGATCTGGGCCTGTCGCAATCGTGTCGCTGAGTCGCGAACTCTCATCATCACCGCCATACATTGTGGCGTGGATCTGTGAGTTTGCAGAAGTAGCGGAACTGTGACTGCTCTGAAACATACAGTTGTGGCTACGATTGCGGCCCACCATGGCAAACCTGGAAGAATGAAACAAGCATGGGATTAGGACCAAGACTCCGAATCGTTCTGCTCGTCCGCTGCCCACCTCGGAATGAACGTACCCATGGAGTGCATGGAATCCATGGCTATCTGTATCCATCCGACGGGGGTGAAATAGGAACCCAGACCCAAGTCCTGCAAGCTCGAAGCTCCAGCCTCGACGAAGTTCTTGATCGGAGCGACGGCATTCGTCGGGTCGATCTGTAAACCGGATGATCGCTCAAAGTAAACTAGGATCTCCTTAACCCGGTTTCGCCCATAACGTGAGTTACGAGGGGAAAGATGGAGCTCCGTGGAAATTCTCCACTCACCGCCATGTCGGTATCGAATTCATGAGGGCCCCATGACCCAACCGTTTCCATGGTCTCCGGAGACGCATTGGCCGAAGGAGGTCGTTGGGACGTCGACCAGCTCATAGTTCTGACGAAGAGAGCCGAGCTGTGCAGTCTTGAGACGGTGCGCGACACCGGGAGCCTCGCGACGTTCTTCGGTTGCTTGATTAAAGAATGACACTCCATATTAATCATGAAACCTCTCCGACTCCTTGAGGATTGAAGTTTCACAGGGCGGGTTTTTTCACAGATAATTCCATGAAAATTCTACCTCGGTCCGATATCCCCGAGATGACGAAGAGGAATTGATGAGGGAAACAGGTCATTCTCAAAGAGCTTGAATATTGTTCCCCGAGGAGAGACTGTTTTCTCACTATCCCGCTAATTCTTGTCACCCAGCTTGTAGATATCGGACCGCAGGACTCGATTCTCCGGATAAGAAGTCCCCACAGTCGTTTTGCCGCAAGAAGAACTTCGCGAGCACTCTCGCTTTGAATTCTGGGATCAAAACCAAATAGGGAATTCATACGCCCCCTCCCTGTATGAGATGTGCAAGCAAACACCGCCTTGTGAGATCCCCACCGACTGTCTTCTGAGATCGGACCGTCCGAAACTGGCTGAAGATCTGAAATACGTTTGTGCGCGCGCCACCTTGCGATCAAGCCGTGGTGAGGGTCAGCGTGAGGCGGGAGTCTCAAACGGGAAGGAGACGAGGATTCGGATGTCGACTTGATCAGCCTATTGGTATATACTTGTCTCGCTCAGTGAAGACTCTTACCCTCAATTTGCTACTGAGCGCCATTCGGGAGTATGCGACCGTCGCTGTCGTCAGTCTCGAGATCGGAGACGAGCTCCGCGCGAGAGGCAACATTTTCCAGGACTTTATTTCTGAAGAGTGTCGTGATTTCAAACAGTTGACACTTGCTGCCAGGAATTGAAACACGATGAGAGCATTGTTCCACTTCTAGCATTCATAGTTCTCCAAGCGTCTTTCGAGGAGAAATACCGGTCTCTGCACGCACTGGGAACGATAACAGCTGACAGAGGTGAATGCAAGAATGCTCGCCTGCTCGCCCCCGTTATTTCGAAGAGTGGCGCGCCAAACCGATTCTACGGTTTCCGAGTCAGAGGCGTGAGCTAGACGTTACCTTTAACTTTTCTGATGCTCATGATGGAGACGGCGCGGCATCGATTGAGCCGGCGATAAGGGTAGGGATTGGCCCCTCCCCTCGGATCACCGAGGAGTCTGGGGTATTCCTGGAGAATCCTCTTCTTGTGGGATCCTCCTACTTTATTTCCGCCATACAAATTACGATACTCAAGTCACGGACCTATGGACTTACTTCCAACTCCCAGAGTCGCATCCGGATGACAGATAGCGTATCCCTCCTTTCAACGTCAAAAATAGGTAACTTGACTTCGCTCGAATTATCAATCCTCCACTACAGAAAGAAGCTAGCTTTCACTGGACCCGAGATCAATCGATCGAGATCTCATGTCGGAGTTCCGTGCCGTTCATCTACCGATTGGGACCGAGTCCCGGTGGGGAAAATTCTTGAACAGCAGCCGGGGATCGCCGAAGAATGCGTTTCATGTTCATCACCACTAGATTCCACGAAATTTTCTGTTCGCGCTACGGATTTCTGGAAGCTCTCTCGAACGCGCTTGCGTATGTAAGAAGGCGCCTCTACGGAGACTGAAGCGCCGTATAGGACGTTAGATGCAATTACGTGAGCCTCAGTGATCCCAGGTCAGGTCGAAGGTTTTTCGCTTTGAAGCGACTGTCCCAGTGTTTTCCGGAGCGGAAGGCCCCTATATCTTTCAGACTTGGCGTTCAGGGCAACGAGGCCCCCATCATCCGATGGCGGGCCATGGTCCCATCGTGGGGGAAGCATGCTTGCACATACGCTCCTACATACAGTCCTTGACCGGTCTCCGATTCGGATCGGAACTTCTCGACGCTGCGAGAAGCAGGAGGCGACCGCCAGTGCGACGAGAGCAACAGACTCACGAAGAAGCTCTCTGTGCTCAGCGCGTTCTCGAGCGGAATCCATTGATCAAATCAATCACGAGTCGACGACTACGTCCTACACTCCGTGGATCATTGAGCTCCATCAGCGGCGCGAACCGGCCGTCCCAGTCGATACCAGAGAAGCTTTGCTGATACAAGTAAATGTGAAGTCTGGCGCGCGCCCCAGACTGTAATGAGCTCGCGTATTCGAGCTCGTATACGGGGAATTCTTATCGAATGTCCGATAGAAAGTCCTAGCTCTTGACGACGCAGCTCATGACGACCTCATTACCGCTCGCGCCCATTTAGATTTCCTCTCGGTCCTGGATCGTCTCCAGGAGCGGATGATCCACAGGGACCCGGTCTTTGGGTCATGGCGACGCGTCTGCGCGACCCAAAAAAACGCAAAGATCGTGGAACATCACTAACCCGTATTTCTTCGTGTACATGTGCCCTACCCTCATGGACCTCAAGAATGGTACCCTGATGTGCATCTCATCGTGAATTGCTCAAGATTCGCGGAATCTCCTTCTAGATCGGCCTTGATGAGGAATTCACTGGGAGCCCGGCGGGGGCGGCGCAGACTGTGGTTTCAAGATTCGCAGTCTTGCTCTCGCATCACTCGGCGACAACAAAAAAAACGTCCAACGATCAATGACGAAATTTTATTCCACGAAGCTATACTACCTAGTTTTTCGCTGGTTGCTTCACTTTCTGTGGAGTCTTGTAAGTTCGTATGACAGGCCCTGCACCAGCCTGCTTGAATCGGATCTCGTCTGAGCGGGCTCTGTTACCGATTTCCGATGATATCTTCAGATTGGTGTAGTTGTCTTTCATGTCCTGTTGGTACGAGAGCGATTCTAAGGTGAGTAAACTTCAGCAATAAGCCGCATCTCGGACGGATGTTCATGCTGAAGGTGATGATGCTCCAACGAGACAATACCTGAACGAAGCCTTTCGACAAGGGCAAATCTTTCTTGACATGCTTGACCAGTGGAGGTATGTTGAACATCGCCCGTACGCCCGGACGTCGCAATATCGTCGTCTGCAAAAGATTCGGACCATAATTCTGGTGCGGCACCCAAGTCAGATTCGTTCGGATCAGGGAGGACAGCACATTCTGATCTCAAAAGTGTTGTAGGTGTGCAAGTCTCCGGTCCGGAGTGAGACATATGGGGAACATGGAGGCAGGATACAGGCTCGCCTGACGAGACAGTGTTATCGTGTTGACTCACTTGAGCAAGAGCGAAGAAGTTTGATGTCGTCCAGTAGGTGAGAACCGCAGCCGGGAAGCCCATCGTGAAAGGGAACATGAGGAAGGGTACGGCTCGCAGCACGTACTTCATGTTTCTCATATTGTCAGCACGGGTGGCTCCGTCAGCTCCCGTCTGTGGAGCGAAACAAAAGACTGTTGATCCTTTCGTGGCCACGAAGACGAATGACACATGACTGGGGTTGGCTCCTCCAGGCTACTTTCCCTGATTCGACATTCTGCCGCTTTCAGAAGGGATCCCGGAACGCGAAAATCTGCGGGGAAATCGCACTCCGCGGGAAATGTTCAGCGCCAGGCTGCCGATCATCACACGTACCTCGAACATGACGAGAACCGTGGTGCAAGTCACGAGCGGCAAGACGTAGTATGGATCCGGCACAGTGAGATCGGAGAACCAATATAGTCCCCCAGTTTTCATGGACTCCATCGGCAGATTGGCCATCTTCCTCAAAGCGATGAAGAAGGAGATGAATACTGGACCCTGGTCGCAGAAACGACGAAAGCTCTTAGATATACTGTAAGACGAGGATACTGATCGGTGAGATAAACTCGGCACCACATCACCTTGATATCTCGACCTCCTCTGATGAGGAGAAGACGCTAACCTGGATGAGCACGGGAACTAGAGAGCTCAATGGGTTGACGTTCTTCTCCTTCGTGAATTTCGCCAATTCATTCCCTGCCCTGAAGATTCAAAAGAGTTTCCGAATGATTTGAAGCGCATTCAATGGCGTGAAAGGGGGATCGTTTCGGGTCGGGCTCCCAAGACACGAGCACTAACTTGGACGCCTCCAGGATATCCCCGGATTCCCTGGCTTCTCTCAGCTTGAGTTGATGTCGCTGCAACTCCGGCATGTAGTTGTTCATTACCGTCGCGTTCCTTTGTGCCTTGACTGCGAGGGGAATCATCAGAGTTTTCATCACCACGGTCGTCAGAGCTATTGCAGCCCACCACGGCAATCCTGGCAACGGAGAACTTGGATTGACTTTCCTCAAGCTGAACATTTTCTCGGAATCTTCAAACGTCGGTGCAGATCAATGCACTAACTCCCTAGGATTCTAGAACATCTTCCGAGATTTCCTGCTAGATATTCACCAGCCGAGTGAAGAAGGTCCAATGCATTCTGAAGGAGTCCTGGTGGAGTGTAATAAGAGCCCAATCCCATGTCCTGTAAGGTCGGTGCAATACCGCTCGCCGTGAGCAGGTCTGTACTCAAGCCTTCTGCGATTTGTGAAAGCGTGACATCTGATCCAGCTGAGATATCCACGATTTTCTCCGCCTGGTGGAAATGATGAGGAAATTCGGAAATCTTAGATGAATTATCTGCCGGTTCAGCTACTGCTAAATGTCTTGAGTGCGAGCTCAGCTTTCACCTGTTCCATCGCTAGAAAATCAGCGTATATCTGAGTATTGTGGGGAAAATATTCTCCCGTGTATAACGATGCGGCTTCCACCACTCCATGGTAGTCCTTCTCAGGCAGCGTGCGTGGAGCGTTAAGGTGAGTTTTCTATCCTGTATCCTGTTACTTTCGCCAGCTATTAGCAACGACTCGTTTCTTCTCTACGCACCGCGGACTCGCCGGCCAATGGTGTCGCAGGTGAGGTCGTCGCAGCCGCAGCAGGTGCGGCTGCTCCAGCAGCTTCTGTTTGCTGATTCCGGGCGGACGTCGTGCTGAAGTATCTTGGACATCTGATGTGGTTCTGGAGCTGAAATCGACGAGAACATGTGAGACACATCGACGGCCAAAGGCGGAGTAAGTTCCTCCTGTAGCTCTCGAACTTTCGTCGGGAGGATTCCAGGAAGGATTCCTCCTTCTCGCTTCGCCGCAAGTCCATCTACCATACTCTGATATTACGATTCCGGAGTCGAGAGACAAGCCCCAAGCTCAGAACCGATCGCGCAGCGGAGTTCGAATCCATTTTTTCCTCGCGGCCGGTGAATTCTGAGAGGTGACGCGTCCCATCCAAGTCGAAGATCGAGATGCAGGGACCTTTCCGATACCAATGATGATCGATGATTGTCCTCACCCGAGTGACGGAAGAATTCCCCCTCCCAGAGGGAGATCGATGTTCCGCGCGAAGCGAGTTTCCATCGCCCATCGAACTCACCTTCTTTGCGGACAAAATATCTCTCGTCACACAGCGAGCAGCGAGACTGGACGAAAACAGTCTCACAGCTAGGAACTGCATAGTGAAGCTCTTATCGGATAAGCCCGATGTATTCCGGCTCGATAAATAGAGAGCTCTCCGAAGACCAGGAACACGGTGAGTCGCGCCGACTGTTTTTGTTTTCTTTGTCCCCTGCGGCCGATCTTCGAAGCGTCTGCTCGAACCCTCTCTCTCTGTACTGGGCAGAATCTCGGCCGGTCGATGGAAATGGAATCGCGAGAAGTACGAGCCGTATGATCAGATTCGTCGTTCTCTAGGCCCCCACCGTGATTCGTCCTGGCTCGAGAGTCTTCAGGTGAGGTGTTCGTACTCCGTTCATCGGAACAAATGTCCGACTGCTCGAGTCTCGGAGCGCGCGCGCGATTGCTGCCGCTGCTACGGGACGACCAGCAAGTCAACAAAGTTTTCTGAGCCGCGTTCCATGGGACTCATCGGGTGATATCGCTTCCAGAGAGGATGCTCACGCGAAGAATCAGCTCCTAATCCTTATCCGGGATTCAAAGCAGAGCACGAGGAGCCATGTGAGTGCGTGGCACGCGTCTGCCGGCTCAGCACGAGCTCGCACTGATCCGCTCGGCGCGAAGAAAAGAGGATTCCAAATTCTAGGCCGAGCATGCTATCTTGAGTGCCTGGTACGCAGGAAACTCGCTGTCCCTCGCAAGCTCCATGACAACAAGATGGCTTTACATCGAATGAGCTCGATTCCATTTACAGAAATCGATCCTGCAGATCAGAGCGGAATGCATGCGGTATTCCGTGTAAAACGTCGTCTAGACGAGAAACAATTGACTGGAGTTCGAATAGCGAAGCGTCAACGTCTCGGGACCGAGGATCCTATCATTTTGACATATGCCGGCACCACGAGCGAAACAGTGAGTTCTCCCCATGGATGAGTTATCGGAGTTTTCGAATCGTGATCCTGGCCTCACCGAGATACCCATTCAGCTTCCGAAGCGTGAATTCACCGCAGGTCCGAGTTAGAAATCGCAGCAACTCATTTTTTAGGATTCGGGAGCCGTGTTATCCGTCATCAAGTCACACCAGGAACAGGGCCGTGATGTAATCCCCGTGGAAAATGGCGTCGATGGAGAGTCTGGCGATGAGGAAATCCCGACGGCCGCTTCAGCGGATCTACCGGTCGCCGCCGAGGTCGGCGCCGTATCATCGAATCGTGAAGATATCGATGAGATCTTCAGAATTTTCGACGCGTGTCAAACGAACATCGGTATGCTCACCACCTGACTGAGTCTTCCCGCGCTCGATACGAGCTCATATGCTCCCCATGGAACTATATGATCGAGCACCATCAGACACGACCCGCGACATCCACGGGTCATAGTCATCAGAGCCTGATTGACTTCCCCGAGAATGAAAGTTGCATTCTTCCCCTTTCAGCAAACCCGAAAGAGACGATTGAGGGCAAAGATCCGCGGAATGATCCAGTAGACGAAGACAACTCGGAATTCGTTTATGACATTTACTATCTGCACCAAGATCCGTCTTCTCGCGGCCGAAAAATGAACTTGGACTACGACGAGCAGAATTTCAGGTGAGTCGGTCATCATGTTTCACATTCTTCGTATTCTGGTGCCGCGAGTCGAAGTTGATCAACTCCGGCACTCTCTCCCGTCAGGCTAGAGCGATGGAACCCTGAAAACGAAGAGCTGGTCAACGAGGGACATGAAGCAGCTGAAGATTACGACGACGAAGATAGTAATGCCGAAGATAATCCCAATAACGATTACCCAGACGAGGAGGATAGGTCAGAGATGTTTACGAATGCGGATGCAACATGATCTGAACACGATCTCGAGATTAGATTCCCTCCGCATCAGATTCCAAGACTGAAGAAAATGTTCTTCGCAGGTACTCTGACAACGGTGGAGAAGTTCCCCATTCACTCGAGGACGACGATTACTATTCTTATGAGGGATACAACCATATGTCTGTGATTGAGCAACGATTACAAGAGTTGGATTTTTTCGGAGCGGATAGCGACAGTGATTGAAGGTCAGACCAAGGGAACCCGCGCCCCCTTCCGTGCGCAGATACCAACGTCACCGAGGATCCTCTTATGTTCCAGTGTAAATAAAGTTACTAAGGTTACCGAGGTTAAACGCCAATCAAGTCCTCCATCGACATCTTTTTTGTCGAGAGTTCCTCGTTCAGCACATTCGCGGCTGCCTTCCTCGACATCAGCATTGACGGGCTCTCTCCTCAAGGTTTTCGTTCGTAAAACATCGCATCAGACGATCACTAGATTCACTGTGCTCGTTAGACCTTCTGACCGGAGAGCGCTGCTCGTTCCGTCCGGTACTGTGGATCCCGGACGCATGAACTGGAGGTAAGCTCAACCTGCGATTGGGCAACCGTCGATCAGGAACACACCGAGCCTCTCGATGTGGGAAAGTCAAATTCCCTTACCACGGTATCGGTCATGGTGTCTCGATCATGACTCCAACGGATACCGTAGATTGAACTAGCACATGCCTTGATTCGAGATCAGGCACTCCGGATTGCCCGTGGCTGCGGACTTTTGAAATGACAGCGATCCGAGAGACTGAAGTTCCCGCATCGATGCCATAAAGTCGAGCGAATCTGACCCCCTTGGATCAGGAATCCGCTCGTGGCCCGGATACGATTCTTCCGGATGCTTATGACCTCCTCGAATGTCTCATCCAAGGCGAGCGAAACTTCCGTATCTCGGGATGAGGAGACGCTGATTAGCCCGATTCGCTTCGGCCCTCCCTGTGCCAGCACCCCGACATGGGAAAGTTGCAAAGCTTCGCATCAGCCTTCGATACCATGAATTCAGATGATCCTTCCTAGTGGATGACCAGCGTGTCTCTCGGGGATGATGCTTGGAAGCATCAGAGTGAGACGCCAGCTCAGTCTTTCATCTGGGCGCACTCGAGATACTTGGACCGCTCATGCTTCTATCGGGTGACCGAGCTCTTCGCATCGCTCCGTTTCGAGTACGTAGCTGATCTCGCGAATCTTATCGAATAGTTCGATAAAGGCTTTTTTGAGACAGATCCTCGCGGTTGATTTTTCCGGATCGATCTTTGATCACGTCGCGAACGAGATTACCCATAGGAATAAGTGATTGGATCCCTGAATCGGGGACTGATTGTTGCTCCGGATGTCGGGGACGAGTTCCAGATGGAAGTTTTCGCTTGTGACGGATGCCTGATCGGTCTTTTCCGGATAGGCTGTCGTAGCTGGGATCCGACGAACGTTCTTCATGTGCCCGACTGCAAAAGGCGATTCCTGTCGAGCGGCGCGGCTCAAGTTTCGATCACTTGCTCCGAGGAATTTGAGCTCACCTGTCTGAGGCAAGCAATTCCGCTCCGACGTGGAGTTTTTTTTGCACCGAGATAGCGATCGGGAGCGAGTGCAACCATGGTAGACTGTAGTCAGGATGATACCCGGGACATCTCCCAGGCCTCGGTGCCCGGCGGGCAGCTCGCGGAGGCTCCGCGGCTAAACTATTTAGCGTGCCGGAAACTCGAGTTTCGCACGATTGCCATCCTCGGCCTCTCGATGAATAGACTAAATTGTCGGAGAAACCATCTGAACCCAATATCGGGTAGCGGGTGTCCAATATCATAGATTCTAGGAGTTTAGGAAGTATCGTGTATCCACGGTGGAACCGAAATCTACGCTTTAGCGATTCCAGGACTGAAGAGCGTTGACAACCGCGTTGAGCTTCTTGCCCCTTGTACGGATCTCCAAGGAAATCGCGAGAAGCGACGATGCGATCGATACTCCAACGTGGAAGATCTGCGGCGAGATAGTGATCTTAATAGCGTCATGGCTGATCTCACGTCGAAAGCAAAATCATTTGAACAGAAAGAAGATACCGCCGGGAGGTTCCGACGATCGTTTCCACGCGCATTTATGATTACAGTTTGGAATTACCACTCTAATTGTGAGACGATGACCCCGAAACCGATTTGCGGCTCTCTACAGGAATCCGCCGACAGGAATCCGAGTCAAGGACGTCCAGTAAAATCGTAGAATATTTCATGTGGTAATCTCGACCGCGAATCTTGAAGAGCTCAGCGCAGGTCGATGAGATGCTCTCATCCGTGCCGAGACAGCACTGACTGAGACATTGAATCTTAGCGAGAGAATGGACCATGTTCGAATAAATCGGCATTGTGAGTCCGGGGGACATCGTATCAGATTACAATCACGGACTCCGGGTGTTCACGCAGCGATGGAAGTGGGAAGGAAACCGCGCAGGAGACGTTCGACGTTCTTGCCCTGGGTCGATGGGGGAACTTCATGCATAGAACGCAGTCATGTCATGAGCGAGCGAAATCTTTGAGATGCTCGACGGCCCCAAGATTTTCGCCGTTGAATTCGTTCCGGGGAAAGTCGAGGTTGGGAGGTCTGGAATGGATCGCGGTCGTAGAACGGAACTTGGAACGGTCCGGGGTCGGGACCTGGAGACTTCTCGTGACAACCTGGCCGACAATCACGAAGCTTCTGTTCGATCCAACAGTCCCTCCCTGAGCTCACGTGATCGGAGAGCTCACGTGATCGAAAGTTGGCTCGATATATATTTCGGATACGGCTGATAAGCATTGAAGGAATCCGTGGATGGACGCAATCATGCTTGGCGGCCTTTCAAATTTTGTCGAGATGATGGTTGCAGTAAGGCTCTCCGCCTAGTCCGCCCGGATCTGCGAAGAGAGTTGACCGGAGGAACACCTAATCGGCGCTGCTTTCCATGCGGATTTTTCACCGTGTCCTACCCCGCCTTGTCGTAATGATCGAGGGATCCTTGTCTTCCGCGGATCGGTATTCGTCGATCGCAAGAAGAGCCTCGGAACGGAATCCCGGTTTTCGAAGCTGTCGAAAACCTGGATTCCGTTGTTCGCAGTCGGCAAAAGTTGTTCGCAGCCGACTTCGTCGACCCCAGGGCCCGCAGAATTTCATAATTTTCAATCTCTACGCTTCCGAGGGAACACGCGGGGAATCCGAAGAAGGCGCATCCTCTTTCCATTGACGATCGGTACCGCGACGCGCGCTCCCTCGCTTGTTCTCTTCCTCATTATCTGACTCACTCGCCCATTCGCTGATTCATTTCAACGGCGGCTGGTGTCCATGGAAGCTCCTGATGCAGTGCCGCTACCGACTCTCCTTCGAATACAACAAGGACTGTGCGTCACCGATTGAAAGTTTGCTGGAAGTGCTGTAGAGCCTACGCATCAGGGTGTCAGTTCTCGTGCTCGCTCGCCGACTCGTACGGAGTTCCATAAGCCGGGTGATTATTTCCTCAATTTCGCTGTGCCCATTCTCCGAATATCCTAGAAAAACGACTTCGCGGAAGGGAGCTTGAAACTACGTTCACCCCAACCCGCGCTTGCCGTCGAATGGAGCGACGGATGGCTTCCTGCTGCGATCGGAGCGTTGTTTTTGAGCAGCTCGATTTTCCCGTTGCCATCGTGTGAAAGGTTGAAGGCTGCGGCGTGGCGCCCTATGAGATCATACGGCTGTCTGTTTACGAGAAGAGCGGTCGGCTCGCCACTCATCGTCGAACGCGGTGTGAGATCTCTGCCTTTGATGTACGGATGCGCCGATCGATAAGCGTGGCCTTCCCTGCGGATTGTCATACGGAGGACCCCACGGCGGACCCTTCTGCTCCCTCTGAGCGGAAGCGGCACTTCAGTGCGCTAGTGTTTCCGACCGCTGCGTGATCGTTTGAAGCGTTGAAGCGCTGAGAGGGTGGGGTGTCGAACGCCTGAGCTCCTGGATCATCGAGAATGAGTCGGTTGGAGACGAATCGGCGCAAGGACCGATAAGGCAACGACCATCCTCAGTGGAGAAGAAATCGCGGAATGAGTGAAACATTGTTAGCATCTTTTGCGATTGCCTCGGGCTCTCGCCTCGCGCTCTCTCCGAGCCGCCGGCGGAGCTACAGCAGCACTCTGAATCGTTCAGCTTTGGATCGTGCATGCTCCGTCCGTTCCATCATATGCTTTGTCAATCAAAATCGGAAGAGAAACCTAATGAGGAGTAGCCTAGAAGGCCGAGTTGAGAGTGTTATGGTGAAACAATCGACGGGCGGTTTTCGCTTGCAGATCCGCAGAGCCCAACTGTGTCGAGCGCCAGGCTATCCTTCGAGGAGACAACGGCGACATGCAACTCCCGAATCCTATTCAAAACATGGCGCCTGAGCCTCGGCCTCATGAGCTGCAGACGACGTTCTCTGAGGAGAAAGACGATGATACACGTCGGCTCCGGAAGATCAGAAGTCTGAGTTCAACTTCTGTCCCGAAAACAGGTTCGGCGAAGAAACGTCGTACGTCCCGGACGGACGCGATGTTCTGGGAGATCGACTACCTATCTAAGGAGCATCTGACTGGGTTCGATAACTACAAGGTTAGTACCCGTTAGTGCGTGGTTGCTTTCCCAGAGAACGTCATTTATCCGGCGAAACGTCCGCGCTCTCTACACTTGAATCGTTCCGCTGGTTTTGTCGTTTCCTCTCGCTTCTAGTGGTTCGGCCTCCGGGGTAATGCTGCCGAATTCGAGGGTCGACCAAGCTCCCGCTATACGCATACCTTCATAATTCGCTGTCTGGGGAGCAACGGCTCTTGACAGAATTCGATTCTGCTCGGTCCGGTGGGAGGACACCGAAGAGAGCTCAGTCAACATGCGCTTAGCGCTTCCGTGAAGTCTCGCGTGCGACGAAGACTTCCGTGAGCGAGCCTATTCCTGCATTGAAGCCGGAATCCCGCGCGGCTATTCCGACCGCAACATGGACTCCTAGCTCCCACCGTGATAGCTGATAGCCCCCCGAATTCACGCCTTGTTGCGGAAAAAGTAGATGTCCTGAATTAATTCCGCGAACCCTATGCTTCGTCGGCGGGCTCATGGAGCGGTCCGTGTGCACTTTTTGCGCGTGACATTCATGATTCATGATATCGCTCGCTCCCTGTCATCACACAGTCAGTGTTCTGACGCGAAAGGAAGTGATTCTCCATGATGTTCTCGTGCTTTCCAGTATTCAGCCATAGATACATCACCGTTGAGCAACTATGTCATGCACCCTTTTTGGAATCAAGTCGTCAAGGTAAGAAATACTCACTCCCTTAATGTATTCACAATCACACGAGCTCTTATGAATTGAGTATGTATGGTGAGTAACTCTGTCTCCTCCATCGCAGCTTGTACCGATATCGATCGCTCCCAACTGTCTGACCTTTGGAGGCTTCCTCTTGAACGTGGTCAGTGTAGTTCTGTTATCGTGGTACGACTTTTCATTTTATGCATCCAGCAACGACCACGCTTCGAGTCCAGTGCCCCTGTGGGTCTGGCTTCTGTGCGCTTTCAATCAATTCATGGCTCATACCCTCGGTGAGATTTAGAATGTTGCCGTACGAATATAACATATATACATGCCGTACGACTCTTTGGAATCATATACCAGCGCCTCACCAACGATACTGCCTAGGCGAGAGTCCGACTCCGCAGAGTCGACGGCTCCCGAAAGATCTTAAAGGTGAATACTCATTCCTAATTAATTTTCAGATGGCATTGACGGTAAACACGCTCGGAGAACGGGCCTCTGTGGACCTATGGGAGAATTATTCGATCACGGACTGGATTCATGGGCGACTCTCTTCATGCCGCTCTGTGTATATTCTGTTTTCGGCCGTCTAGATTATTCTGCCACTCCGTGGCGGTGAGTCAGATACGGATGAGTAGCTAATATCGGTGTCCCTCTACGATCGCTACGCATATCGATTTCTCGTTGTGACTCAGCTCATGACTCTCACCCAATCTTCAGGTTCTATCTGATTCTGTGGAACGTCCACTACTGTTTCCTGTCGTCTCACTGGGAGAAGTATAATACTGGAATCCTATTCCTGCCTTGGGGTTACGACGTTTCCCAAGTGGTAAATAAGATCTTGAACCGCGGCTCACACGCACCATTGCTAACAACGACATCGAATAAAGGTGTAATGAGGCTCAGCCTAATTCGATTACCGACCCTCTCCTTCCAGTTCCTGACGGCTACATTCCTCATCACCTATTTTGAATCACACAACTATTGGAAATTCACGCTCTTCGGACTTCCGTCTGGTTTTTACATGGAAACTGCGTTGCATATTGGAGCCGTAGGACTCTCGCTGCCTGTCAGCCTATGGAACATTTACAGAGCCTTCAAAACAAAGACTCTTAAGCAGAAATCATTGTGAGCGACATTCTCTTCGACAATATTACTCCGACTGTCCTCTCGGCCAGGAAACTGACCATCTATCGTTTTCGCTCAGGTGGGAAGGCATGCGACCCCTCGTGTCGCCCACGATCTTCTTCGCCTTAACCACGGCTTGGGTGCTTTTCTCGCCTACCAACATCCTGGAAGCTCAGCCTCGGGTGCTCTTCATCATGATCGGCACCCTTTTCTCGAACATCGCCACAAGACTCATAATCAATCAAATGACGAATACCAGGTTCGTATGCCTCAAATGAGATGGAGCGCATTCTGTAGTACACGGAGGGGAGGTGTCAAGCATCTGTGGATAGAGGTAATAGACGAGTAGAGCACCGACGGAGCTAAGCAGGGACGATTTTCCTTGCAGGTGTGAAATATCCAACGGGCTCCTAGTACTTGTATCGATGACGCTTGTTGCAGTTTTTCAATTCGGCTACAGCGAGGTCGCGTGTCTCTACTTTCTTACCGCATGTGTACTCGTCGCGCACATCCACTACGGCACTTGTGTTGTGCGACAGATGTGCGATCATTTCCGAATCAATTGTTTCTCAGTCCAACGGCGCGAGCCGAAAAAACGCGAGGCCTGAGGGAAGAGTCGTGCCATCCGTAACATTCAATCGCTATCATCGTGCTTCCATGGGCAGTATATCGAAGTTTCATGAAAGGTCCCCCAAGCAAGATCATCCAGATGAGGACGTTATCTCGTTGTGTTCAATTTGTTGAGATTACTTCCCCCCCCCCTCTGGGCAGCCAAAGAAAAGTATCGGAGAAATCGAGCGAATCGCGCTCGTCGATTGTGTTTGAGCCGATATAGCAGTTGCGATATGAATGCCAAATTAATGCGAAAATGAGCATTGTTTCTAGTCTTTGTATTATTAGCAGGAGGAAGACATTGTCCTTGAGGTCACCACTTATTTAGAGCTTAGCTAAACGATGTACAATCTGCTGTAACTAATATGACTTGGGGGTTCGCCACCGGATCATTGTGTCGGTCTCCACAGCTTTCCCTGTACCTATCATTTGACAAGGAGGCATGGTTCGAGTTTCCATTCGATCCGGCATCTTAGAATCTCCTTGATCGAGGTATGACAGCGAACAAGGTTGTGAGAGCATCGTTGATTACTGAGCCAAAGAATGCTTATCGGAAGGGAATAAAAACCCTCGACGCCGGGCGAGGACTTGTTCATCGTCGAAGGCCAGTCAGGCACAAGAGGAATTCTTCATTCTATCCGCGGCCGCTCTGCCTCGAATCAGCACTAACACAGAGCAGAACACGGGAGTAGGCGAGATATCCGCTCTTTAAAATCGGACGGAGTTCCAGACTTCACTCCGACCTCAGCTATCGGGGAGCGAATCTCAAGTCGGTATCCATGATTGCCCATTGGCTCACCGGAGTCAGCGCTGCGAAGATCTCGGAACGATACTTGAGCCACACCTGCAATCTACCCCGGTCGTTCCATCGATCCAGGGAAGGCCAGTTCAGTCAGTGTTTGAGCGCCGCGAAATGTGACCAAGACCAAACGTAATGTAGGGCAGGAGAGTTCATTAGGCCGACTGAGCTGTCTGGATATACCGGGCCCCTCAGGGGAGAATGAAAGGTCTTTACGAATCCGGGATTGCGGGACTGGAACTCCCAGTGATTTCCGTCTTCAGAAATCCGAAATTCCCTCGCAGTTCCCCTTATCGCTCAACACAACATTTATAAAGGTGACACAGGCGAGCAACTATGATCCCCGAAGAATCCTCAACAAGCGACCGAAAGTTCCTTCGAGAATCGAAGAACCGCTGTAGCTCTGTAGAAGCTTGCCAACGATGGAAGTGCAGCTTTTTCATCCATGATTTTCCGAGATCATTTTGTTCTGTTTCTCCATACCAATGGATATAGGTCGTACTGGTGCGGAAGGGTGGGAAATGCTTAAGAGTCGCTCTCTCCTCTCGGTGCCTTTCAGCGAATTCGGAAAATCCATCACACGCTCAACGTATTACCGCTTAGCTTCCGAAAGCTTGCATGGCTCCCTCTGGGTTAGCGGAGCAATCGTACACCTCCTTCACGACCTCCCTGATGTACGCTCGCGAACTTAATCCCAGTCCATGAACGACCGTGGTCAAAAGAATAAGGTGGGCTCCAGGGGGAGGAGCATAATACGGCATCTGAATGCCGTATCCCGACTTGAACCTATCGCACCCTTTCCTTCGACTGAAGCAACGCGGTTCTGGCCGCTCTATCTGAAATACAGTATTTGCCTGCTTGAATATCTGCATCTCAGGACGTTCTGCACTTTACGGAGCATCCCAACTCGCCGCGACCAGCTCGCCGCGACACTACTCGCCGAGACCCTACTCGCCGAGACCCTACTCGCCGAGGCCCAGCTCGCCGCAAGGTCCAACTCGCCGCCGGAGGCGACCGTCTTAGAGCGACTCATCCTTGGCTCATTCGCCCTAATACCTAATGGTTGCAGGAGCATAGAAATTCCAGAATTAGCCGGGAAAGCCATGGAGACAGGGTAAAGAAAGATTAGCAATCATCTCATTATATCAGCAATGATCTCAATATTTATGCAGGCCACATAATGACACCTCTCTGACACTCTGACTCGTCTTAAACGCCGATCAGGTGGGGCTCCTCATGACGAGTCATGGACCACTCGGATTGCTCAAGGTTCATAACCGAACGGCGAGTCCTGCAGCATTCTGGGCTCTCGGGTTGATTGCGGTCGGAGATTTGCTCCCGGGTCGGCAGCCGCGCGGATTCGGGTGATTTTGAATTAAATGACAATTCAGTATTTCACAGGATGCCGAGTTGGGGTGTACCGCCTGTCTTCCCCTCTATTGCTGAGACCACTCGTAGACGATTTCAGAAGACAGTTCGACATGATGACTGCATGGAGATGCGCCTAGGAAAACGTAATTAGCGTCGTCGCGTCACTAGGTACAGGGCAAACCACCATCTATCCAACAGATAAGCACGCGTGAGGTAAATAATTATTCATGATGATAAGGCAATCTACAGGAAACTTCCCTATTGGCGCATCATATAGCGAGAGCTCCGGGGTTCGGGTATCATCTACACAGCAGTCCATCTGGACAAACGGCGCGGCGGCATACATGTGTACTCCATCCAATGTGTCCTTGTTAGCTGCTCGTGTTCCCGAGAATTTGGGAAAAAAACGGTTGAGCAATCCCCTGTTCGCGACCCGAGTTCACTTCCATCCACAAGTATACCGTATGCAATCCCCCGAGAGCCAGATACCGAATGTGGACCCAAAATGACTCTAGCCGAATCGAGCTTGATCGAAGGAACTGAAAAGTTTTCGCCGACTCATATCGAATTTCACATCGAGAAATCTAGCGAGTCGAAAATTGAGACCCGGTTTTGGCTCCGGAACTCCCCGATGCAGCTTGTGGAGTTCATCGCGAGCTGAGGGCGAGTTGGAGCGGCCGGACTCGCAGGGTCCGATGAGAAGGCATCGTCGAGGGTCTCGCTACCCCAGAGACTACCCTCAATGAGGTCGAATCAGGCCATCTGATCCTTCTCAAGGCTCCCTACTGCCCAGCGGTCCGATGTTGGAGGAGCACTCATCGGAGATATCGATCAATTCCTCCTCCGTGGAGAACCGACCACCTACCTCTCGGGAACATCCTCGATACGCCAAGGGCTGCTCCTTGGGTTTTCCCTCGTGAATTAAGGCAGCGAAGACGCGAGTCCGGAAATTCAAAGCAATCGTATCATAGGGAGACCTTGATACTTCAGACAGACTTTGCGAAAGCCTCTCCATCGCACAGTGGGGCCAAATCGAATTTTAGGTGGACAAAAGTCCATGAAAATCGATCCCGGATTTTGATCGGTCATGGGTTTGGAAATGTCCGTAAGACTTCGAAAGTCGCGGGAGAACTATGATTACAACATTTTCCGCACCCCCCAGCCACCCTTGCACCTGCCAGAAAAAAATTGATTTTTTTTATTTACGACAATTTTGATGAATTTCTCCCCACAATCGGTGATTCTCGGAAATGAACATACTTCGTGCCCTCGCATTGGGGGAAAATCATTTTCTGCGCTTAGTTCCCGTCCTGGTCTCGCAATCCCACATGATTCCGATCGAGTCAGCCGATTCTGGACTTGCTGGGAAGACTTTTTCGCCGAGACGAAAAAGTTCGGAAATTCGTTAAATTCTCGATGTTAGAAATGCGGTGTCCCCACGTGTCCCCCCTCTGTTTTCTTTTTTTTGGGGGAGTTTCGGACCTCTACTGGCCGCAGAAAAAAATTGAGGCGCGAAATCCAGCGGTTCTCGGATACTGTCCAGCCAAAGTTGGGATCCGATGTCGTGGATCGGGACCATTCTCATGTAGTTTTTTGAATCCAAATCAGCACCAAGAGATTGACGTCCATATGTCGGAAGCGATTGACGTTTTTTCCGTTACGAGACGTAGGCGTCGCGTCTTGACGCGGCGTTGACTCGTTCCCAGACTTAAGTGGAGAGCGACAATGTTTTCCAACTGCTGGTGCTGATTTGGTTTCGAAAAACTACATGAGAATGGTCCCGATCCACGAGATCAGATCCCAACTTTGGCTGGACAGTATCCGAGAACCGCTGGATTTCGCGCCTCAATTTTTTTCTGCGGCCAGTAGAGGTCCGAAACTCCCCAAAAAAAAGAAACAGAGGGGGACACGTGGGGACACCGCATTTCTAACATCGAGAATTTAACGAATTTCCGAACTTTTTCGTCTCGGCGAAAAAGTCTTCCCAGCAAGTCCAGAATCGGCTGACTCGATCGGAATCATGTGGGATTGCGAGATCAGGATGGGAACTGAGCGCAGAAAATAATTTCCCCCCAATGCGAGGGCACGAAGTATGTTCATTTCCGAGAATCACCGATTGGGGGGAGAAATTCATCAAAATTGTCGTAAATAAAAAAAAATCAAGTTTTTCTGGCAGGTGCCAGGGTGGCTGGGGGGTGCGGAAAATGTTGTAATCATAGTTCCCCCGCGACTTCCGAAGTCTTACGGACATTTCCAAACCCATGACCGATCAAAATCCGGGATCGATTTTCATGGACTTTTGTCCACCTAAAATTCGATTTGGCCCCACTGTGCATCGTTTGAATTGGATGATAAGACAGGGGATCAGCATGAACCTGGCTTGACGCTCGAGATTTTTTTGTCATTTTCGGCGGAAATGTATTTGATTATTTACAAATGGAATTTATTGCTCGGTCCCTTGTTGCCACGAATGCTGATGTGGGTCTTCATGTCGGCGTCGTTTCATCGTTTCATCATTGCTGAGAGCATACACCCTGCGGAAATACGGTAATCTTGAAACTGCTTGCAATCGAATTTCGGACATTAGGTCTCATGTGGTCCGAGTCAGATTCTGAGGAGAACTTACTGCATACTCGGATCAGAGAAGCTACCGTCGTGACCAGATGAATACATTCCCGTTTCGGAATGACCGTAGAAAGATTGCGGTGTGGATGGATTCGAATGCGGGGGTGAACCCTGCTGGCTCCCACAGATTTGGAACACAAGTCTCGGTTTAACGTAGCCGGTCTGAGGTGTGATGGCCGTGTTGCTCGGCGTGTAGTATCTCATGTAGGCTTGGTCGCGAGGTGTGTCTGGATAGAGATACACCAAATTCCGAAGGAAGAAAAAATGTTATTCTCGACCTGCAGGTGGGGCGCACTCTTCCTCCTTCGAATCGGCGCGCATCGGGACCGCTACATACATACGGGATACACACATATTCGACAATCTCGACTCACCGGGAGGTCGGATATCCGATCAGCAAGGCTCCGAATCTGGAAGTCTCTGGCCGTGAAGGGCTGCACCATCAGGATGTCTTTATGGCCATCACATTCTGAGATCCATGCAATGGTCACTCCGCCCAATTCTGAGTCGGAGAAGCGCAGAAGGGAGGTCCCGTCGGACTTCTTCAGCAGCAACGATTCAGTCTCGCGGCGGCCAATGAAGCCCAAGATCGTCCCGTCGTTCCACAGCGGTCGGAGATGGTCCCGGGTGACTTTCATGACCGCGTGGAACCACTCCCAGAAGCTGGAAGTTCTGTCGGGGAGGAGTTCTTTGCAGAAAAGCGCCCATGAGATCATCCGGTCGCCACAATCCAGAGGAAGATTCGGATCCCGGAAAGCTTTCGTGGCCAGCAAATTGCTCTCAGAGAGTTCCCTCCCTGTTGCAGAGCGGAACTTCATTGAAAGCACCCGGGCCATATCCCTCCAGGGGACCGCCCCAGGAACCGAGAAAGGAATCCTCCTCCCTCGAGAGAAGGCGTTATCCCATGTGACGGTGGCCCACGCATCGGGCTCCTGATTCCCGTGCACAATCACCACAACCGGCAGAGATTGGGTCCTCACGGCAAAACTCAGGTTCCCGACTTTCACGACTGATTGAAACAATAAACAAAATTTTTCGTCCATCACACTCTCTGTGCCTTTCTTCTCCGCTCGCCTGATCTTCTTCAATGACATGTTGCGGAAGGATATCGAGAAAAGTTTCGAAGCCGCGTTGTATTCCATGTTTCCATTGCCATTTTGAATTTCGCCGGAGGCTTCGGTGGTCGGATTCCAAGTGCCGACAGAGCGCTCGGCTCGAGAGAGCCAACCGTTTAATTATGGGGACCCATAGTGTACGGGGGTGTGCTCATCAATTAAGTAGACGGGGTGCCGGATCGGCGCCTCAACGTAGGCTTCCCTCTCTCATAGACAATAGTATAAGAAACAACCTTTTTCAATCAATAAACACACTGTCTTTTGGAAACTCAACCCGAAAGCTTCTTCGATTCTTCACGAGTGTGGTGGCTGAACTTCAGATTCGCCTTGGTGACGCTGAGCGACAGCGGAGACGACCCTACTGCCTTCTACCCTATCTCACTAACCAATCTTGTGTGCCTGTACAAGCCTTCCAATTCCCTGTTTATCAATAGGGTTTCGGTACTGATCTCTTCCATCCGTGCAAGTTTCAGCTAGGTCCGACGCGGACCTCTTGTGAGATCTCCTTGTCAGTTGTGCGGTCCTATCGTGTGGATAGATTAGGAAGAAAATCAAACCGGATTGTGACACGGAAGAAAAACTATACGACCTGAAAGAGAACGAAGCCTGATGAGTGCTATGTTGTTGCAGAGAATTCACCAATGAAGTGGCGGCAAACTGAGACAACAATGACAGTCGACTTCCCGGATTCCTTCTGGGGCGAGAAAAATGCCGGATTCGAGCTTCTCTACCGAAGCTGCAAACAGAGTCAGGCGACAGCCAAAGAGTTGGTGGACTTCGTCCGAGAACGCAGCCAGATCGAGGAGAAGTACTCGAAGCTTTTGGCGAAGCTAGCGTCTTCTCGACTGCTGGGCAGCGGGTCTTCCGTAGCGCCGCTATGGGCTGCTCTCAGGAGTTCGACCGAAAAAGCGGCTTCCGTGCACTCGCAATTGGCACATCAACTCAGCGACTCGGTCAAAGACATTCAACGCTACGCCGACGAGCAGCATAAACGTCAGAAAACGATCAAGGATGAAGAAGCTCCCACCATAGACGCCGTCCAGGCGCTCCAGCAGAACTCGTTGCTCCTGGCCAAAGCTCGGAAAGCGTACGACAGTCGAAAATCCGAAACGAACGACCTAAAACGCAAGAAAGCTCTCGAAGACTATCGAACGCAGAGCGATCGGCACGAGCTCGCGCGGGTGCACTTCATCATGAAAATGAGCGAGGCCTGCGCTCGATTTCAGGTGCTCGAGGAGAATCACCTCAGCGCGGTGAAGAGCTTCATCGAAGGCTATATCCACACGCTGATCAACAGCTACGCGATGTGTTCGTCAATGTGTCAGGACCTGCAGACAAACGTCGACGCACTCAGCATCGAAGCGCTGCTCGACCGATTTTGTAAAGAGCGCGGAACCGGTCGCGACAAGCCCGAGCCCCACAAAATGCTGCTCCGCGAGGACACGCCTCCGCTCTCCAGCAACTCGCTCCATCACGCGCAGGTGCATTCGCAGAGTTCCGAGGACGTTTTCAGATCCGGTCACACGAATAGCACGGGAAGCATTTCTGCTTCGACAGCGGGAGGCTCGATAAACAGCCAGCAGCGGAATCATCTGGCCCCGATGCTACACCGGTCGTCGCAGTCTCGGCTCTCAAATTTATTCGATACCGTGCGAGGACGTCACAGGCCGACGAGTTGCAGGAACATCGACCACTCTTCAGCGAACGACCCATCGTCGGGTTTGGGCTCGGCGGCGAATCTCAGCTCGTCTAGTACGATGACGATGCCCACGACCGGGGTCCTCGTGGATCAGGAAGGTTACAGTATACCTCTTCCGCCCACGTCGCAAGCGTCGGCCTTGTCGAAAGCGGCTCAAGACAGTTCTAGTGATGACAGCAGAGATGACGATGAGACTTCGAATAGGATATTCAAGATCGAAATCAAGCCCATTTCAGAAGCGACCTATAACGCAACACAAGCCCAACCGACTCGCTTGGTGTCCCCGCCCGCGAGGACTGTAATGAGTCCGGAATTCAACGGGAATCGAACCCCTCCCACGCTCGCAGAGCTGCCGAAAAGCATAATTCCCCGACCGCAATCCCGGAGGTCGGTCGACGTGTCTTCACCGTCGATGACGCGAGCCGAGTCTGTCACGTCGATTGGGTCCGTTTCGACAGGCTGGTCTCGAGGTCCCTCACCCCTTACGCTTGGATATGGCGATACGATTCCGATAGCCGTAGCTTTCCAGGAAGTCGTCCACGCATCGTTCCGAGGCGCAGAAGAAGGTGAGGATTTTCGGTGGTATGAAAATGTGCTTCCCGGCCGGCATTCTCAACGTGCTCATGTCGCATCCGAACATACCGCAACTGACATTCTCATTGGGAAATCTTCCTCTGGACAACCTCACCCCGAATTCGCTATTGGTCACTTCGGTAGAAGAGCAATCGGGCACCTTCCGGATAGATATGAACGAGTATTGTCGCAGTTGAAGCGTCTCCACGACGCTCACCCCGGCCAGTCCTACTTCAACGTTGATCTGATGAAGTAAAGTCTAGCCGGTGGGCCCGGGGCGGCGTCGGCGCCCCTGCATCTCGTCACCTACTGGAACTGCGACTCGACCAAGTCCGACCTCAAGGTGGACTATCTGTACAACGCGACAGACAAGTGGGCTCAGAGGCCGTGCAACGCCATAATTACGGTCACGCTCCCGCCATCTGCCGCCATCAGCAACGTACACTCGAAGCCACCCTGTAGTTGGAACGGCGCGTCAAAGAAAGCCTCTTGGAAGGTCGTCAACATCAAAGCCGGATCCATCCTGGCTCGCTTTCAGCACGACGGGCCGCTGCACGCCGATCCTCCGGGGGAGGTCGCGGCCCAGTTCTCCATAGAAGACGCGTGCTTCAGCGACGCTTCGTTCACGCTTGCTCCCGCCTGCGGTTATCGTGTGTCTCTGATCAAGAAGAAAATCATTTCCGGTCGCTACACTGCTGTGATGTGAGATGTCAGGGCAATGCGAACAGACGACATAAGAACGCGCAGGACGGTCAGAAACGCTAGTCAGGTGATACGTGGAACAACGAGAAGCGTAATGTCTACGTCTGAACGCACCGGAGTTCGAGATCAAACTGAGTGTTTATTGATTGTTCCACAAGAGGGCGCGCTACGGCGCCTTCCACAAATGTGCATGTATTACATCCTTCCCCTTTATAATTTTTAATAGATATGAGAACATGCATTAAGTTATGGTAGAACAATGAGCTGAGTATTAAGATCGCGGGGCTTTGAGTAATTAGGCGGATGTTTTTTTTTGCCTTCGCATTATTCGTTCTGATCTTCTAAGACTTTGACTAGGGAGCACAGCTTCTGCTGGACCTGCGGACGAAGTGCCAGGGTTGACGACGGGAGCGGATGATGAAGCGGGTACCGGAGTAATATCGGCTTTGTTTCTGCGATATGTTACACCACTGTTGTCGTTCCGTATATTGTATGAGCGAGGAACACTGTGAGCCGTTCCCTTAATCCACGCTTTGCTGCTCCTATCCCGGACGCGTATTTCCTGACCCTCCACGAAGTCGGGACGCTCTCGAGTCTGTCCATCGTAATATGCTCTCTGTTTTCTTCTTTCCTCTGTGATGAGTTTCTGGACGCGTTCTGGATCAATCGTCTTCGGCGCTAGGATGGCATTGTGGACCGGGAGGAGTGTGCGAAGTCGTCGCCCCAACAATCTCTCCGATGGCGCAGCAAGCTCGACCGATCCCGGCGATGTTCTGAGTTCCATTAGTTCTGTGTAGAATTCCGTGGTACCGAATTGATGCTTACGTAAGATCTTTTTTGCCTCTTGAACGGCGCGCTCGGCCAACGAGTTCCCTCTGGCATAGTAGGGACCACTCGTGACGTGTTGGATATCGTGTACTTTCATGATTTGTTCGAACTCATACGACGTATACTGCGGCCCATTATCCGTCCGGAGAACTCGAGGCATGCCGAAGTGTTGGAAGGACTCGAACATGCCTCCGACGATGTGCTTCGTTGTCATCTTGACAAGCGGGGCGAGGGTCCAATAGAAACTATAATGGTCCACGATCACCTGATAATCGAGGCCCTCGTGCGTAAGGATATCAGCGCTAACCATTTCCCAAGGTAGCGATGGGACTTCACTAATTATCATCGGTTCCTTTGGTTTTGATTTCTGGTATTTTTGACAGAGCTCACAATGCTTTGTGTGTTGTTCGATATCCTTGTTCATGGATGGCCAATACAAGGCATTTCGGGCGCGGTTCTTCATTTTGACTCCTCCACAATATCCTTGATGTAGTTGTTGGAGCACTTCTGAACGCTTCGCTTTGGGAACTATGATGCGGTTGGATCGCATGACGATGCCCTCCTCGACGTGTATTTCGTCTCTGTATGGCCAGTATAAGCGTGCTCCCTCAGGA